TACACATCACAAAAAAGACAAAAAGAAGGTGCTAATTTGCATAATAGTTACATAAGCTAAGTTATATGTATACCAATAAATTTAGAAATAAAAGCTGCAGGGTGAATAGAAATACAATGCATGTCACCATAGCAGTAAAAAAATATCTGCCTGCCTCTTCGTTCTGCTGTCCAGATACTGCTGATAAGTAGTATCAAGGCCCCTGACTTTCCTTATGGTTGTTTGATTTTCAGACAGAGCCAAGAAGGACAGGCAGAGAACACCTGCCAATAGAGGCCTGTGCAAAGACAGACACCTGTCCTGGCTATCCTGGTTGAAAAACAAGGCTTGAATGGCTTGTACACAAAGGCCTCCCCCCGCCCCCAACAGTTTTGCATGTTTTCCCTTTTGCAGTTGCTGAAGGGAATGGAGGATTTTCAGAAATTGTTTCAAAAGTGGTGCAGCTTAAATACCTTGTACTCTTACTTGGTGGTGGTGGCACAACTGCTGCTAACGTAAGAAGTCATACTCCTCAGCTAGAATGAAAAGGAAGTCATTTAATAACCAAGGAGCTTCACCATTAGTGACTTAGTGCTTCACAGCAGGTGGTAAACCACACTATCACACCTTCTAATTGGATCAGGAGGTAGTAAAGGCTGGTCAGTTCCAGCTCCTTCTGTCTGGCTCTTGGGAAGGGAAGGAAATGAACAAAGCCAGGTTCTGTCACTCCCAGATGGCACAAAAGCTCAATACTTCAGTCGAACACAAAACCTAATCTATTTCTCTTCATGACAGAGCTAAACTTACATAACTAATTTGGTTGCCTAGGCTGACTCTGGCACTATTTATAATACCCTATGTTATCATTTTCCAGTCATAAGAACAAACTGCTAGCTGTGTCAAGCTATCTGCTTTCAGAAGCTAGGAGAACTTACTTTTGAAGATGGCTGTTTGTTTTCCCATCTGCCCCCAGTGAAACCACAGTACACTTATAAACAGTGGAGTTATACAGGGAACTTGGAGACCCCTGCCACCATTTAGATTTCAGGGAATTGCAAATACTTAGAGAGAGCTTGGAGACTATGGGAAAAAATATATATAGCTATGTATTTTGTGAAGACAATCCAGACATCTTAGTAATAAGGGTATTGTGTTTTCTAAAACTTGAAAACAGAGGCAGTAATTATTCGTTCGATTAGCACAACACTCTCAGAATGGTGGATATAATTAAAATAACATCAATTTAAAGTCAGATTTAAAACAGCGTCACCTGCCATAAAACATCCCTGTGACAATAAAATTCGGTAAGCCTATGTAACAAACAAACAAGCAATGCCATACAATATATAATAACAACTATTCCAAATGTACCAAAACAATTTAAAAGCCAACAGAAAACCAAATAGTCAACAATTAAAATGGTGAGAAAAAAAAGTTTTAACCTAGCACCGAATAATGTATAAAATCAGCACCAGGCCTATCTCCCTGGGGAGCTGATTCCATAGACAGGGTGCCACCGCTGAGAAGCCCCTTCCCTCCATAGCCACCCTCTTTACTTCCTTCCGGGGTGGCTCACAGAGAAGGACCTCTGTAGAAAATTGAAGGGTCCTCTTGCACCTTGTCAGGTGGTTGAATGACAAAGAAAAACTGGGCTGGATTTTTGCAAGGCAATAGCTGAGACAGACTCTTCTTCCCCTGATGATATGAACATGAGTGGGCCTTTTGTGCTTAGTATAAGAGTCCCCTGTTCCAGAAGAGGAAGGGAGGGAGAAATAGAGAAAGAACCAACAGCCAGATAATAACTCAGAACATATACAGTAAAAAAGATAATGGATCAAAGACTGCTCTCCTATGACCCCTAACTCCAGATCAAGCTCCACTGGAACACAGTTAGACTTAACTGTGAAAAACACGCATTGGATTAAGTTATGTGAAATAAATTAGAATTCATAGTTATGAAAGGGATTGAACTGTTTATCTTCAGAAATGCACTGACTGGTCTTAATATTGGAAGCATATTTGGAAAGATGGAAGCAAAGATGGAAGCAGACTTTGTGAACCCTTCCTTCCCATGACAGTTTCTCCAGGCCCCTGAAAATGCTACAGAGATAAGCAGGATGCTGCTTGAATGGGGTGCACTGTGGCATGTGTGAGGGAAGGGAAGTCACCACAATTGAGTGGGAGAACATCTATGAACAGAGCCCTTCCTCTTGCCTGAGATTTCTTCCTGAATCTAATGCACTGACTGCTGTCCAGTTCTGCAGACACTGAAGAGGTCCCATTGTCCTTTCATCATTTATAGCTAATGTAGTTTCCTCACCAACTCATCCACAGTATGCAGAATTGCTGTGGATTTGCATTCAGATTGCTTGAGGCAATGACCAACCAGATCCTTAAAATTAAGGGAAAGTGTCTGTGACCCAGTGTTATGCTCCCATGGAAGCTAATTGTTACACTGTTTTCCTTAAATTTACTGGAAGTCTAGATCTATGAACTATGTGAAGGGGAGTAAAAGGTAAACTCTGCTCATACTCCAATTGAGACATGAAGAGAGACTCCTGCTTGAGGCGATGAAACAGAAAGGTGTTTGGGGCTCTAGAGGCTACTAGCATTTTCCAGTGGTTTGCCTGATGTGGAAACCATGGACTCTGACTCTCTGTTGGTATGCTTAAACTCTGCTTTAGGACTAGCCTATTTGCAAAGAGACTAGATGCTACAAAAATGTTACAAGCTTCCAGGAACCATTTTCCAAGTGGTGTTCCACCTCTACAAGGTATGGCTGCTCAGAAAAGTGGGATGAGTATAAAAGTTTATTATGCAGTGATGCTGTATTCTGCCAGTCTCGTATCTCTATCCGAGGAGCTGATTTCGTTCAGAAGGTTGATGGAGAAGATATTTTTGTTCTCCCTCCTACATTCTGTGCATGACTCAACCAGTTTCCCTACCCCCTTGATGCTCATCTGTGACCTGAAATAACCTGGTCAAAAAAGTATCTAAATTAGGAACAGCCAATAATGCAACCTCAAAGATCTTTTAAAATGTCTTGGCAGCAGTTATTGGTGCTTCTGCCTGCACATCAATGTCCAAGATGGCTAGGAAAATTTTCTCCCAATAGAAAATTGTCTTCTGTAGAGGAACTGGACTTTGAGAATATAGAAGCCCTATCTTTGAATCTTACTATTTTGAGCTGAGGAAGAGCCAAAGGTTGGCCAGACTCATCGGCTCTGATCCTAAAAATATCCATGCAACTCCTATTTGCAAATAGGACAGTGAGCACTTAACTGTTTGCAGAAGAGAGGCTGATATGTGGTAGGCCTGGAACAAAGCTCAGAGATTCAGTTTAGGGTTGCTACTAGTGGAAAGGATTTAGGTTAAGTTTTTTTTAATACAGGGAAACACCCCAAGATTTATTGGGCCTTGAAAGGTGGCAAATATGCTCTCACAGTTTACCTCTGGAATCCATATGTCTTCCCAAGTTCACACTACACTTGTACACCTGGCAGAAGCAGGTCAGTACATCCAAGATAAAATCTTACACCTGCATAAACCTTACACCTGCTTCCTATATTAGTGTATACCAAAGTCTTTACACAATCACTTTCAAGCATCTAGATTGACTCTCAAGCGATAAACAAGAAAGCTTTGTATGCACACAGAGAGGGAGAAATGACCCACACAGAAACTACAGCCATCTTTCTGCCGACAATAGGAAAGGGCATGCCAGGTTTTCTCATTTCAGTCTTGAGATCTTAAGGTAACAAATATGTGGTAGTTTTACAGGGGAATGTACACATCCAGTGCACACTCGAATTCCTAGGGTCTACATGCAAGACTGGGGCTGCACATGTGCTGCACTTACTTATGAGGAAACACATGGATACACACCTCAGTGCACACTAACCATGCATCCCTCGCTGCCCAGTGAGTACTTGGACTTGCTGGGCCCAGTCCCCATCCAGTCCCCAGTCCCTCCCAGGTGAGGTTGCAGAGGCGTTGAGAGAAACATTTGCTTCTCCTTGCCCCCAGTGACACCCACCTCCAATGGAAGTGGAAAGGCTTTTGTGGCAGTGGGACTCAGGGGGCTGCACAGCAAGGCTTGGGTCCCACCTGTGACCCACAGACCACATGTTGTGCGCTCATTTATCAGGATAGGGTATATGCTATCAAGGAAAATAGGTAGGACACTTAATATTGCTCCCATAATTTTCTGAAAAAGCAAAAGCCACTTTGTGGAGTTGCTGGTGTTATAGTTACATCAGCAGAAATGCTGAGCATCGCTGGCTCCGAGCTGCTGCATATACAGTAACTCTTCTTCCAACAAGGGCACTGTAAAGTAGGTTCAACAAATTTTGAAGGCTGCCTGAAGAGAATATAAACTATCCTTGACACTGGAAATATCTGCATGATTACCTTTCCTTTTAACAAACAACTGATTCTTGCCCTGTGTCAAATGACGCCAGCTGCTGACAAAAATGCAAAACAAATGTTGGCCACGGATTTCATAAACTGCAACTTAATGGTGTAGCTTGGCTCCAGATTTGTGGGTCACAGTAATTGTTCTCATAAAGAAAGTGGTTAAATGTAGTCGTCAGCTTAGAGTCTGGTAAGACTCGGAAACAGTGAGCAATAAAAGAGCTTGGATGTTTCACAGGCAGTTTTTTCCAATACATTTCCCCTTTTCTCTAATATTTGCCTTGTATAATAAGATAACACAAACCATCTGCTCCAACTTCTTCACTTCCACAGATATTTATCTACCCCTGGTTCTTCCCAATGTGTGCTTCATCCGCCACGAATGGCTACAGTTCCCCTCTCAATCCCATGTCACAACAATGCAGGCATGCCCATCATTTGGCAACCACAGTGTCAGACGCACGTGCAAGGCTGTTCCCGGGCAGCCAAGGCCATTGACGGGGTTGTCATCAAGAGACATCGCCACAAACAGTACACTTCCCACAGAGGCTGTTTCCAACGTCAAGTCCGAGGGGGCTCCCAGAGGACGGACTCCTAGCATTACTGACCGAAGGATATTGCGTGGCTCTTCTATCCTTTCTGTTGGGAATGAACAAGGCTGTTGTTCTTGTCCCGCTTCCTGGGCCAGGGTGGCACTGAATCTTCAGATGGGGATGGTGAGGGCTGCAAAATGAGGAGTGCAGACATGGAGATGGTGGAGGTAAGAGGAATTGCTTATCTCAAGGCTGTCATCCTCAGGTGTCCAGGCAAATCTTGGGAACAGACAGAGGATGGAAGTGCAGCGAGGGCACAAGGGAGAAGAACAGGAGGAGCCCTGTTGCATCCCGTTCCCCATGACATGGTGGTGGGAGAGAGAGGCTACCCAGTCAGAGGGCATGCAATGATCTAGGAGGGACACACACAGGAGGTGGAGCCCTGTGTGCCACCAAGAAGGGCGGTTCTCAGAAATACCTTCTAGTTTGGATTTAATAAATCACTTTGTTCATGCACAGAGATTCATCTTCTGGTGGCTATGGTTTGCTGGCTGAATATTGGAAAGAAATTGCTCTTAAGCAGAAAGACTATCTGATGACAGAAAGGAATTAAGGGATTAACTCAGCTCCTGACACTTTCCTCCATAATGGATTCTTAATGGTAAGAAAAAAGAACAAAGTTCTGTGAAAAAAATATGCGAGTGTTGGAATTTGAATATAACAGTGAGTGGTGCAGGTTTATGAGAGCTGTGGTCCAAAATATCTGGAAGGTACTACAGTATTTATACCTACTTTATAACATGTATGCAAGAGAGCATTATAGCTCAGTGTTCATGCTTTTTGGACCACTTAAACTTCTGTAGTTGCTCAGAAATGGAGTTTATTCTACATATATTAGTCCTTCTGGCCTCAATGCCACCTACCCGAACATGCTGTCCTTCAAAGGTTTTAGATTTCAACTCCAATTAGCCCATCCATCATGGACAATGGTCAAGGATATTGGAAGTTGCAATCCAAATCCTCTGGAGTGTACCTGGTTGGGGAAAGCTGTCCTGATGCAACTAGCTGAGAGGCACTGTGTAGCTCTTCTATTACTTCATTAATGATTTTCCTGTAATAGAAAAAGACACAGCAGGAATGATGGGAAAACAAAGAGGGTTAGTAATGGTAGGCTTGTTCTGAAGACAACATTATGCAGCAGGGAAAACTGGATTTGAAAGGAGCTGCTCAATCATTGTGTGTTGTCCTGCTATCCCAGCGAAGTTATATTTATGTTCTTGTTGTGATGTCAATGTTGGGTGGGAAAAGTCAGAGAGAGTACTTTTACAGGCTAGGCTTCTGGATTTGTCCATAACCTTTTCCTCTAATAAAAACTGATGTCACTATATTTTCCTACTTCTATTACATGAAATACCCTCTACCATTCTCCCCTGCCTGCACAACTTTCTATGTTATTTTGAACTATGGAGAAAAAGAAAGATAATAGTCACTAATATGATAAATTGACAGACAAGCAGGATTTATGTTGAGATGGATAAATACATGTAGAGTTTCTTCAATGTGATGTAACTGCTAGATATAAGGAACAGACAATACTGTATGATTGGCAACCTCTATAGGTTCTCAGCAGGTTAAAGACAAAAACATGAGAACTGTAGATAATGAGACATTTGGAGCCCAATTTGCAGAGGACTGCATGGATTTGGAAAACACAATCTGGATTATGGAAGCCTATTGATTAGATTTGAATGTAGATTTTTTAAAGCACAAGTATCCAAGAAAGCACAGCAATATCATTTCAAGAGTGCTTTCAGGGGCCCCTACAAGTATCTATGAAACCAATTAACAAAATTACTCCCATTGGATTACTACTGGATCTCTAGACAGGGCTACTGCAGTATTTGCTATGCCTTTGAAGATGGATTGGAAGCTACCCTTACAGCAGGACTCAGCTGCTCAAACTTAAGAGACAGCTCATTCAAATTCTTTTTCTCTCATTTGAAAAGAGTTCTACTGATTGCCTATCTATTTCAGAGGAGAATTAAACTATCTCCCTTCCTCTCTGAAATGAGGAAGGTGACAATATGGGAGAAGGCTCTTTTTGGCTATGATACCCCGTTTATGGAATGCCTAGCTCCAGGGAGGTTTGTCTGGCAACAATTTTGCTTACTTTTAGGCTTGTCTTGGCCTCTAGTATGGGCCAGATTATTTCTAGGGGACAGAGGTTACCCTCCACAGCTTTAGTGCCTAAAACCGTCTTCCTCAACCTGATGCGTTCCAGATGTATTCGACAGAAACACTCATAATTCCCAACTGGCATGGTATGGGAGTTGTTCCACACACCTGGAGAGCACAATTTGGAAAGGCCTGACCTAGAATTTAGGCAAGAGCAACAGACAAAGCCCTCCTATTAACACAGACCTTTAAATGACTTTTAATATATTTTTGAAAAGGGTTGACCACTTTTATGCTGATTCATCTTTAATTTGAAGTGATATGTTGTTGCTTTGCCTTTTTAAAATTGTAATTATCCTGGAATCAACTTTGATGAAGAATGAAACTAACATGTTCCAAAGAAAATAAACACTGAAAAATTCTGGACATATTCAATCAAGTGACATCGCTTTGTGCACATAAAGTCAGAAGCAGGTTCTAGCTCAGCTCTCACACACTGACTGAGGAATATGCTACACCTGAAAGAGGAATTCATGGGAATAACAACCTGTAAGGACAACATGGATCTTTCCATTTGGTTTCCTATGCAGTAGCCTGTTCCTAAGTTGTCATTGTTGTTGTTGTTACCAGCCATCCAGTAATCCCCACCTTATGACAACCCAAGGCATTAATGTTCTCCACATTGTCCTGTCCTTGACAGCCCTGCTTAGCTCTTGTAAACTCAAGCTGTGGCTTCCTTTACCGAATCCTAAACTGTGGTTGGTAAATCTCGCTGAGAACCCAAAACTAAAATAATAGCTTTTATCTTGGTTGTACCTGATCTAAAACCTGAGCAAGAAAATTTGCTTGCCTAGTCCTAACTTGCACGTTATGAAAAATTTAATTAGTCTGAGAATGTACTTGTATGATGTTTCAGACCTGTTGAGCAGTACACTTGAAAATGTGCCAAGATTTCAAATAGACTTGTTTCAAAACAACAGACAGTATGCAGATTTTTAAAAAGCAAGCAGAAAGAAAGAGTTTATATTCTTCCATGGCTTCATTATAAACTATACACCAGTGGGTGTATTTGTAGCTTCACATCACTTTAATACAAGCATAGAAATACATCACTAGTGAAAAATATAATAAAGCTTATCAGGGGCCCATAGTTAGCCTGAAGGTTTGTGGGGGGTGGGGGGACTTCATTTGCTTTGTTGGTCCTTTAAAGGAAAACACACACACTAATCTTTCCTTTTCTTGTTTTACAACATAGGGGGCAGAAGACATTTAGATGGCACCCCCCATACAGGCCCATGGTCTAAAGATAAGAGTTATGATAAACCAGAGTTTAATCTCTCAAACTTTTGTAATTTAGTCTTTATGTCTGGAGGAAGGAGGAAGTCTTCCCTTACTTGAGCAGAATATTTTAGCCACCACTAGGTCAAGCACAATAATGAATTTCTGTGTAAGTACAGTGCATGGTCCCAGTCCATACCATAACAATATACAATATACAGAGTAATATTACAATATTACTGTGAATCTAAGATAATTCCTATTCATTCCACTGGGTCTCTAAGGATTAGCAATGTATACAACTCAGTATATTAAAATGATTAAAATCTGCACTACAATGTATTATAAATCTCTCTCTCTCCCTCTCCCTCTCCCTCTCCCTCTCCACACACACACACACACACACACACACACACACACACACACACACACATGTTGGTTTTAAGAAACTCCAAAGGATGGCTGTATTTAGTATTTCATTAGTAATAATAACAAAGAACCCTTTCATTATCATGTAGGGGACTGGAGACAGATTACAGGGTTCAATTCTGCCCCTATATATTTTTGAGACAGGTATCTGTGTAGGCTACAGTAAACCATCAGAGTTTTTCTAGTACTCAAGGTGAGAAAGGGCTTGCATATCCGTGCAGAATGAGCCTTGAATTATTGTAAGGAGCAAGTAGTCCCCATGTGATAATGTGGCAAGCCCATTAGCAGAATAGGTTTATAAGTGCATTTTATACTTTGATACTGTATTTTACCTTTTAAATTGTTTTAACATTTTGTGAAGTATCCAGAAAGCTTTGGCTATTGGGCAACTTAAAATTTAATAAATAAATAACTGTAACAGAATATAAAGTGAAGCAGTCAACAATTGTCTGACACTTGAAAGTTAATGAACAGCATTTTGAAAACTATGGCAGCCTAAAATGAACAAGCATGAAAAACACCAATATTACAGCTACACCCACCATTTGCAAGGCTTTCTTTTATTTCAAGTTAATATCCTTCTCCTAAACATGTAACTCCAGCCTAAATTGCTAGAAAAAAAGAAGTCTTATTATTTGCTAGTTACATAGGCTCTAACATGTTCTGCTGATGAAGGTAAAGTGTGTGTGTGTGTGTGTGTGTGTGTGTGTGTGTGTGTGTGAAATCAAAACACTCAAGTCTTCTGGTATTAACGTTTTGCAAAGTCTGGCTAGAAGAGCACTTTTAAGCTTTCTGTTATTAGGAAGATTTCGAAAAGGCTGCTTTAGCATTTACTTACCTCCAATTTAAAAAAGAAACCTTTTCTTCCCTGATTTTATCTCCTTCACTGCCTTTTACTCCTTTTCTGTGCAGGGATCCCCTTCCCTCTGGATCACATGAAAGTGTTCTATTAATGAGAATTGGCTTGGGTTTGAGAACACTATGCTGGTTAGAAGTGTAAGGAATCTGACCCCAGGCTCTAAGCTACAACACGTCACTTCTCCACTGGAATTCTGTTACTGGATGAGGAAATAGCATAAAAGGAAATGTAATACATATAAACATACCCTTCCAGGTGCTGTGAACCAGTGTGTGTGTGTGTGTTTGTTTTTTTACGGCATGTGGTATTTATCTGTTAAGCCATTATAGCCCTATGGAAAGCAAAGGTAGCCCTGCCAGTTATTAAAAAAAATATCCGAAGTCTGGTTTTGGTGTAATATTTTTCTTAGGCCATCCATAAAGCCATCAAAAACATGCAAGCTTTAGAGGTCTTCAGATCTCTGCAGCAGGGGAGATGTTACAACCCCTCTGCCCCCACTCACACCCTAAGTCCTGGTGTCTGCATGATCACAAACTTACAGAATTTTTACTCTGCTCATTTTTGGGTTTGACCCAAACAGGCCTATGTGTAATATGTTTCTGCCTCCACCCTACATAGCATTAGGTAGTGAGCTGGCAATTAGACAGTGAGTATTGAAAATGTACATGTCTTGGATTCAGCTGAATAAATTATATAAGCCCCCTGAACCTCAGATGATCTGTTTTGGAGGAAGAGCAATTTCTCAGCAATTAAGAGTACCTCTGTGGAAGCATTCCTCCCCTTTCCCAGGGACAAACACATCACTCCAAAAGTAAAGAAACAAATACCGGGAAGAAGCTGTACAGAAATTACACTTAGATTGTTACGATAGTTCTGCGGAGAGAAAATATGGTAAAGCAGCCTTTCCAAGCCTGGTGCTCTGCAGATGTGCCAGACTATAACTCCTAGGATTCCCTGGCCAAAACATGTGAACAATAGGCTTGGAAGGCTGCTGTAGAGCTGTCATTCCTGTGGCATATGAGCTCAGGATTTTTATTTATTTTGCGTGTGATCTGCCATGTTTTATAACTGGGAATGGGCAGGATATAAATAAATGTAATCAATAAATATAACCACTGTTTTCTTTCAGCTTTTTGGAGAGGGGACTATCTTCAGAAAAGCAGCTGTGAACAATGGTAGCAGCATCTACCCTAATGCTACCTGTGTTGCGAACCTCCATCCAGCACGAATAGTTCAACAACCAAACAAATATAATGGTGGGGTGGGAAAGCAACTATGTGCTGGTAGGAAAGCCGTAATGGAGCAGTCCTGTGCTGAGAAAAACACACAACCAGGAAAGCTCCAAAGGATACAGATATGGCAGTCATGCTAGCTTCCTGCCCATGTGCCTTCAAATATGAGAGCCATTTTTAAAAACGTGTACCTCACAATGTTTTTCTCCAAGGAACCCGAGGTGGTGCCAGTGATTCTTCTCCTCCCTACTTTATCCACACCAACCCTGTGAGGTCAGTTACACTGAGAGTCAGTAGCTGGGCCAAGTCACCCGGGGTCTTCATGGCTGGGTGGGCACTAGAATCTGGATTTCTTGAGTCCCAGTGCAACACTCTTGCCACTATGCCTCACTGGCTGTCCAATCATGACTGGGCCATATGGAATCTTTCAGTATCTCAATGCATGCAATGATGCCACAGGGCCCACTGCTTGAGGGCCACCAGCAAGGACTTGGCCAACACAAGGATAGAAGGCTTGCAAGCTATGGAGACTTTGTGGAGACTTTGGGGCTGGTTGGCACTGGGAGTTGCAAGGGAGCACTTGCAAAAATGCCAAGGGGTTTTGCTGCTCTTGCAAACAGGCTTGGTAGCCGATGTATAGTACCCATGGTGGGATTGGTTCCCTGGGTTTGAAGAACATGGCAACCCACCATGTGCATAAGAACCCCTGGAATGAACTGTGGGTTGTCAGGGTGGCTTATTGCCCCAAGCCTCTCTGTGGGAATAAAACCACGTTTGCATGATATAACTGGGTAGCAGCCAATGATGGGTTGTCTTGCCATGTGAACCTGTTCACTAACTGTTGTTGCTAGACATTGTGAGGAACAAAGGCAGGGGCACTGTTCCATATAATCCTGCAGGCATCCCCAGTTGCTGAATGACTGTAGCCAACTACAGTTAGAGGTGGTTAAACAGAAGCTAAGGGAATCAGGGCAAGAGCTCTTTATATGGTTCTGGGACAATGAGGGAAAAAGGAAACGTGAGGCAGAGGCACAGGATAACAGTCTGAATGCTGGAACCTTAGGGCAGAGAGGGAGAAGATAGAACTGGGATAAAGAAATTCAGGATGCATGAATGAAAAGGGCAACCGAAAAGAAACACCAAACAGAAGATATACAATAGGGTGGTAGGAGGATAAAAGGAACAGCTGGCTCATTAAAAGGCTAAAGGGCTGAAACAGAGGAGTGGCTGCTAGGCAAGAAGATGCTTTCTAGTGTAGTCAGCAGCAGTCAGAACATGAAAGAACAAGTGGACAAGAGAAGACTTGCTTTCTTCCATAGCAACCCCAGGAATAGACCAACCTGCCTCTATAGCACCTTATATAAAGCTGGCATTGTTACATAAACATTATCACTGATTCTGCAGCTTCTTCTGTTTATTTGGCCATTTATCCAAGTCCTTCAGCTACTCACCTGCACTGTTCACCTTCATTATAATCATGCCACCACTTAACTATATTGCAGGATTGGCATGCAGCTTGATCCTGCAGCTACTTATCTCACTTTACAAGCATTTGTCCCCATTCAGTGGGTATTTACCTCTATGAGTCTCTGAGCAATCACCCTATTTTGGCAGCTACATACCTCACTTGTGACCTTTCCTATTCTTGCAGAATTGCTGCAAAGACATTTTGACTTATCCTGCAGCTACTTACTACAACACCCAAGGAGTTTGATCCTGTGCTGTAACAAACACTTAAGTCCATGGTTTAAGTGGTTTCATCATTTATTTGGGGGAAGAATAGAAACAGACATTATGTAACAGCCACATGTAGAGTTTCAGAGTTAAGTACCCATAATAATTACAGTTTTATGTTATAGTTTATGCTACTATACTATTATAGGATTTGGAAGTTTTTGGATATAAGAGGGTTAATCAAGTCAGAAGTATTTCAACAGATTGCATAGATGGTCCTGGCCAAATGACTACATACATGGGGAGCTACAGATTATGTTTCCATGGGAACTAGTTATTAAATGTTCCTTAAGATCTATTTTATCCTTTATTTCATTTTTATACCACCCAATAGCTGAGGCTGTCTGGACCGTTAGCAAAAGTTACACACACACAACCAACAAGAAGATATAGAAACTGAAATTGAATCAGCATAGAAGCATAACAGCGGTACAGAATAAAATGAAATATATAAAAACAAAGTTAAAAAGCTAAACTGTTAAAATGCAGGGAAAATAAAAAGATCTTCACCTGGTGCCAGAAAGAATACAAAATAGGCTCCAGAAGTACCTCTTGGGGCATTCATTCTGCAACTGGGGCACCACAGCTGAAAAGGCCCTCCCCGATAGCCACCCACCTCACTTCCTTCTGTAAGGGCTCCTGGAGAAGGACCCCACTCCCCAAAATGACCTCAGCGTCTAGGTGGGTACATATGGGGTGAGAAGATCCTTCAAATAACCTGGACACAAGCCATTTTAGGACTTTGAACGTTAGTATTCACTTTTTGAATTGGGTGCTTTTGCAGACATGGCTTAGAAAATGTACTATTAAGATACAGCCAGAAAAGTTTTATTTAAGGAAGGTAGATGATGTGTTTGGGATGCCTCTCATTTCTCTATCACTTGTATAGTGAGTTCACATCTTGCATGGCAACACATCTGAGGAGTTTTTACCTGCTTTTCTCTGTAAAAGTGTTGTCATTTGTTTCAGAAATGCATTATTCCGGTCTTCCAGGGGGCTGGCCCTTCTGTAGCATGATGTTACAACAATAGTCTTGCTTCTCATTTCTCCAGAGGGCTTCTACTCTCAGATATAGTTTTGTGTGTGTGTAATTTATTTATTAAAACATTTTTATGCCGCCCCATTCGCCGAAGCCTCGGGGCGGCTTACAACAATAAATCCATCCCTGTGTGTATCCATCACACAGAATGCTATTCCCTCTCCATTTCAGCTGGATTAATTTCTTTGGCAAAAGGTATGTGCACACTTCTTAAATTCCAATCATTATTCCTATCCCACCAAGTCTCAGGGATACCTTTCAGATCACACTCAGTGTCCTGATTTTTAAAGAAATAGCTGACTTGGCTTTATTGGAGGTTGCTGAGAAGGTTTGTGGAAAATCGCTACCTTACTTTTTCTAAAACAATATTGGATGCTGTATTTGAAATGTAGATGTTTAATGATAAACGTTTAAGAACATGGGCATGCCATGGCATGAGAAGAGTTTGGTGTCAGCTGTGCAGTTCCAGTATTACAGAATGTCTCCTGATTCTCTTAGTCACATTCTTCAATGTCCCTCCCTGCCATTCTTCCATTCCATTTCCTTTTCCTTGGAAAGCTCTGCCCTCAGATGCTTCTTCAGTGGAGATGCCCATCTTGTTCAAACACTTTTCACTCCTGGGATAACTTGAACTGTACAGAGGTTTGACTCAGGCCGTCTCATCTTCTCCTTCAGCACAAGAACTACCTTGCTCTTATTACTGAAGTATTTTGATGCCATCCCTCAGCCAAAAAGCATTCTGCAAAATGGTCTACATGTTATCAATTAAACAAGACCATTCCTGCCTGTAGGCTTAAAGTTTAAAAGGATACAACACACAAGGAAAAAGGAATGGGGAGGGAAGAGGGAGACAAAATTGTTTGCAGCAGCAAGGCTGGTGGAATGGCACTGCTTTCCCTCATTTCCCACAGGAGCAGTGGCAGGAAGACAGACAAGGCACACACCCTGCCTTGGAACAGGTCCTTCTGTGTCCATGGTGCTAGGATTTGCAGATTGCTGTGATTTATCTGGACTCTTCTCAGCCTTCCCTTTTAGTCTGCTTAGTTCACCATTCTCTCCCTGCCCTTTTCTAAAATAAACACCTCTTGGGAAAAAAGCAGACACATGACCCCCAACTCACAACAGCAGAATAAGTCAAATGACTCAGCAGCTGAAGCTGGGGCTCAGGCCTGGGTGTGTGAGAATGAGATGAACAGTAGCACATCAGCCGAAGCAACCAAAGCAAGAACTCAGTTACGAAAGTTCCTGTAAAATGAGTTCAGTGAAGAACAGATTAAGCATTTGCAGTGATTTTTATTTTTAAGCATGAAGTATAATTTCATATAACTAAAAATACTATTTTATACATTTTTAGATATTCTCACCCATCCCAAAAGTTTAGGGTTGCAATCCTTTACTCTCTCTCTCTCTCTCTCTCTTACTATGGAATAAGCCTTGGTAAATATTTAGGATTAGGCTACTGATGTTTTAAACAAAACGTGGTTTATGTAAAATGTTTACATATGTTAAATAAAATAGATATAATACACAACATATATGATTATATTTAAATGTGTGTGTTAAATAAAATAAACATGCTCCCTAAGAGAAGGGATGTGTGCTGGGCATATTGCAGTGATCCTTAATTAAGGAGTCATCCTTGCAGGTTTTTAATTTGGTTTTCTTGTTAAATTCATATTGTGGCTGAAGGTTTATATCTTAGTCTGGGGGGGGGGAATAAAGAGTTAACTACTGTGGTTAACTGTTATCTTTCAAAAAAACTTTTTTTCTTCAAATTGCATTCTGGTCCGATTATTTTATGTAAATCATCCTTAATCAAACCAGTCTCTTTCGAATTCCAGTAGCTCCGTGTTTTAATGGCCTTACTCTCCTCAACCCCCCGGGCTGGATGTATACCCTTTGCCTTCGTCTTGTTCCAAGTAAGAAATCAAAATGCACAGAGCTCTTTTATTCAGTATTAAATCGACTCCAGTATTTTGCAGTCCTCGTCAAACGGTATTTGGGATCGTGGAGCGGCGCTCACCGCTCTCAACTATTGGGCGAGGGGTGCGCTCTTACTTCTAGTGGATCACTCACGGATCTTTCTATTGCATTATTTTATTGCATACTTGCTCCTTTGAAGTAGAAGTGGTGATGTTCGCTTTGAAGTACAGACATGCAGACGCTAATAGCTGCGCACTTTCTAGCCTTACTTTTAACCCATTCAACGGTGCTCCTCCTTATTTCAGGGGGGAGAGCTAAAAGTTGGGGGGCGTTCATCGGTTTTGAGGTCTTGTAGAAATATAACTATAAACTAGTGCTAAGTATTTGTTTGAGAGCAAAGGAAATCTAGGCAGAAGTCTTACCCCCCAAGTACAGGCATGTAACGCTCAACCCCATTAATTTCAAGAGCCAAACGCTGACGTAGATGAAGGGGGGGGCATCAAAGCGAAAGAACCATAGACTCCAATTGGCCAGATGGACGTTCGCGCTCCTTCGCGATCGGCTTTGAACCTGGCAAGATGCTGTAGCTGTCTCCAAAAACACTCAGGAATCTCGTGACCGTAGAGATAGGAAAGGGTAGAAGTGCTTACTTATATACTTTCGCTATTTCTATGAATAGATTCAGTATGAATGGTTTCTTCACTCTTTTGTGACACCTAAAAGACTAATATGACAATACTGGAAGAACAAACAGCCACCTTATAATACAATGTTTTGAGGATTTAATGATGCTTCCAAGAACGAAACGGGTGGTCTTTAGGAGTGATTTACAAATAGATAAATGTATGGAAATATATGGTCTGAGATTCTTAAAGAATAAGCATAATTATGCCGAAGCATGAGGGGACGGCATATAAGTTTTAAATAAAAAATAAAAAAAATGCCTAAGAAAAGTAATCTTATATGCATCGTGTCATGTATGAAATGTAGGTAGGAGTAGGGTTAGGATTATTGTAATATTTTAAAATTAATATTTTATTTCATTTTTAATCAAAATGCACAATTGAAGCTAATGAGAAATATACGTATACATCGCAGAGCTAGAAAACTGAATGCTACCCTCTATTTCTATGATATATGCCGGTGTAATCCTTTTTTAAAAACCTGAATTGGTTTTCCAAATATTTCCTCTAAAGCCGCTTTCCCAAACCTGGTGGCCTTTGAAGGCATTCGGACCGCAAGTCCCAGAATTCTCATCCAGCATGGCCATTTACTAGGAATTCTGGCTGATGCAGTCCAAACGTGTCTACAAGGTGCAAGTTTGCGGAAGGCGTTTTATATGGTCGTCATCATAGAGCAGCTACAAAATAGAGCGACGTTCTTATAGGAAGATGTGTCGAACGGCGCCTTCATTTTTAACCGGAAGTTTTCTCTGACCGATGCTTGCGTCATTCATGGTAGCTCCTCGCTCCCCGCCCTCTTTTCTCGCGATTCCGAAGCGCGGGAAGAAAGAGGCTGGGAGACGGGCGGACGGCCTTGAGGGGCAGAGCCATGGCCGAGGCTGGTAGCGGCAGCGGGGACGACGACAACAACCCTTCTCGAGGCGCGCGAAGCCGGCCGTTCGTCGCGCCCTCCGCTCACAACGGAGCCCACGGGGGGGTCCGACGTCCTTCCTCTCAGGAAGGCCGGGCTCGGGCGGGGGATGGTGATGGGGGCCGGGGCGGCGAAGGAGACGAGGAGGCAGGCCCAAGCGAGAACGCCGAGGAGGCTAACGAGACAACGCGGCGGCTGCTCCGCCAGCAGTACCGGGAGCTGATCTCCAACGTGCTGCGTAGGTTCCTTCTTCCCCCGAACATGGAAGGAGCAGGAAGTGCGGACATCTCTGAGGGGCGGGTTCTTCTCCCAACCCCTTTTGGCCCGGCCCTCTCCTAGAGTCAAAAAACCGGTGGCGGCCAGTGGGTAGAAGTGTCAGGCAGTTAGAACGCGTTTATTGTTGGTCGCAAGGGGTTGTTGTTGCTCGTCGCGAAGTCGCGTCCGACCCATCGCGACCCCATGGACAACATTCCTCCAGGCCTTCCTGTCCTCCACCATCCCCCGGAGTCACTTAAGCTCACTGCTTCAATGACTCCATCCGGCCACCCCATCCTCTGCCGTCCCCTTCTTCTTTTGCCCTCAGTTGTTCCCAGCATTAGGCTCTTCTCCAGTGAGTCCTTTTCATTAGGTGGCCTAAGTATTTGAATTTCTTCTTCACTATCTAGCCTTCTAAAGAACAAGGCATATTGCAGTGTAAAAGGGCAGTTGCTGCCAAATTGTTTCATTAAATAGAGAAGTTATCACTGGGTTCACAACAATTCGATGCTAATAATAGTTAGGGTTAGGTAGTAGTTAGGTAGTCAGGTAAAGAAAGCAACCTAGTAAGGGGCAGACTTGCCTACACCAGCCATCTGATTTTGAAGTTAGCTGATTGACCATCGAAGGTCACATTCTTATGCATGTTTAGACAGAGAAAAGGCCTATAACTCTTAACATGTCTCCTGGCTTATGAGACCTTAGTCCTTGTAGATGAGTTCTGAAAGTTTTTCTATTCATATGTAAAAGTGAGGCAAATGGCCTTGTGCCTACTGAGGTATAATAGAGGAAGGAAGGCCTTAGACACCATTCAAGCACACCTTAACAAGTCTTTTCCTTGTTTTGTGTTATATATATAAAACTTGGTTTTATTATTTTAGAGTAATTGTCATTAGGAATAAATTTTTTAGTGCCTTGTGCATCATCATGCATAGTTGTCACTTTCTTGCCAAAGAAAGGATGCAAAAATCTGTTCTGTTGTTGAGACTGTGGCAAAGCAACCAAATATCCTTGAGTCATCTGAAGCTTGTTGCAGAGTGTGTGTTCCCTATTTGTTCTCCCCTCAACCCAACCTATCATTTTGGTTTGCACTTGTCCAGTGGCTATGGGCTACTTCTTGTTCATGTTTATACATGTATAATCAAATTCATTGATATCTGAACTCTTTCCCCATTTCTTTTCTCTCTTGTCAGAAGATATTTAATTGCATGTACTGTATTATTTTTCTGGAGTAAAATTATACCAATTAAATAGCACCATTTTGTGGTAATATTTTCATATACTCTTGGAAAAATATAAAATAGTACAGATCCTTTCACATATCTTCTGCTGTTTTACCTGTATAAGGTGGCATCTTCCTGATAGAGTTAATTCTGTTCCACTTTATTCTAACAGATGTTCTTCCTCTTGACATAAAAAATTAGTACAGTTTCAATGTCAAGTTGTTATGTCCCTTCATTAATAGTAATTACCACAATGACTTAAAGGACATAATGCCCTTGAGTAAAGAACACACTAGCATTTATGTAGCACTGCCTATTCTAAATGAAGGTGCTATTACATGGGTATCTTCGGATGTGTTGCTATCATTAGAACTTGTAGGGATTTAAGCAAATTGTAGTCCAGATGCACAATTTAGGGCTATTAACTGTCTTGCATTTGTTTTTCCATGGTTGTATATTTCAATTTTTATTTTTTGCTTTAAAGATATGCATTATATATTTTCTTTAAGAGAATCGGGAGATGATGTTGAGTACTGGAAATGATAAACTGACAGAAGCTCTGGAAGATGCTAATAAATTGTTTACTGGAGGTAAGAATTCCTTAGAATATTTACCATTGTCTTTGCTGCCGTTCTCCCTCACCCATGCCATTATTATTATTGCATTGAAATATTCTGTTTCTTTCCTCTTGTGAGGTATCCAGTGTGGTGCTTATAGCTCCATAATATCAAACAACAACCCTTTAAGGTGGGTTAGGTTTTACGAGAGAGTGAATGACTGACCCAGAGTCACCCAATGAGCTTCTTGACTCAGTGGAGACTAGAACCTGGATCTCTTAGGTTCTCTCATCCAACATTCTCACCACCACACTAGTTCTCTAGCTTTTACAACTGAAAACTATGCTTGAAATTTAAAAAAAAACCCAAGAAAATTAAAAAAGGGGGAAAAAGCACAAGAAAGTTATGCATATCAGCAAACATGAATATAATGAAATAGGTATAATGAGAAAATTATTGGCTACTTTCACCTCCTTTCATATTCCTTCAAAGATTTTTACCTGTATTCTTCAGAAAACAAAAAGTAGACATGTAAGTGCCCAGAAAAAAGGGGAAGGGAATGTTTTTTGTGGCTTTTGTGTCTTTAATGAAGAGACTTAGGAAATGCAGTCTTTTTTAAAAATATCTTTTTGCTGTGGTTTTCTGCATGTTGATAGTGTTCCTATGAACTCTATAATCTAACTGCAATAATTGTGCTGTCTGTCTGTTTATATCTCTATCTCCCTCCTTTTTATGCTGTCCGATAGCTTAGAAGGCTCTGTGGGCCGCTAACAAATCAAGGAAGTATAAAAACACACATGTAAAAACATCTCATGCCCTAAATGGTATAGGGCTTGGATATCTAAAGGAGCATTTCTTCCTGTATACACCTATCCAGACCCTAAGGTAATCTATGGAGTGCCTTCTCCAAGAGCCACCTCTAAAGGAAGTAAGGAAGGGAAAGGGCCTTCCTAATTGTGCTGCCTTGATTATGGAATCGGCTCTCCAGGAAGGTGCGCCTGGTGCCAACCCTTTACTTATTTTGTCATCAGGTTAAACCCTTTTAATTTTCCTGACATTTAATTGTTTAAAATATTCTTGAATTTTATACTGGTTTTTTAAATCCTATTTGTTTATTAGCATGGTGTGATTTGGCTTTAGTCTTGTATTATATATTAATATTTATTGTTATTGCTGGTAGCCATCCACTCACCCTGTGATATATTATATGCATTGTTTTAAACTGTACAGTGGGCTATAAAAGTCTTAAATATCACAATGAAATAATAAAAACAGACATATTACAATCACTAACACAACAATATAATTACAAGTCCACTTCTGCCATAGTTAAACTGGAACATAGGCACAGCAGTCATATAAAATACAATATTATTAAAATTTTTACTGAAAATGCTAGTAGGATGAATGTCTCTGGAATCTGTATCAACTGATTTCACAGATATTGGGTAAGTGGACTGGAGCTTCAGACCTAAGAACAGCAGTTAACAAGGCTCATGACATGGCTGCTCCCATCTCTTAGAAACCTCTTTTTGATTTACAAATATCAGAGTGGTTTTTTCACATATTACTTTTGTCCAAAGCATTTAGTATACTCACTGTCCAAAGCATTTTATGTAAATATTGCCATAATATAATAGTAATATTCAAAAGTCAACATGAAAACCAGTTCATGATATCTTGCAGATATCAAAGTATTAAGTAATAATGATCCATTAAATTATTAATCAGAATGTAACTATAGAAAATTCGTTAGTGTATAACAGTTGTGCCCTAAGGTCTCGTTTATTCAACAGCAACCTTTGCAGCTGGAGTTAGTCAGGGTCCTCTTGGCCAGGCTGAAATGCATGAGAAAGAAAATAAGGAACCAAGTCTTGCAGGCTGATGATCACACAGATACCCGTGATGGTGAATGTAAATGGCTCTCACCTCTGACTAAAGCTTTCTAGTTACAGCATATATGATGTTTAAAATGTGTGATGGTGGTGGTAGCAGTATAATTGCTTTTACTGCTGCAGTGGCATTTGCAAATGGGTGTCCAGCTCTGCTGTTCTGGATAGTGATGTTTTCCCCTATTCTACACATCAAAGACAAAACTACTTGGGTTTGGTGGATTTGGTGTGGAGCTGCCAGTTTAAGTATAGTCTCAAAAATTGAGACTTCATAGATTCTATCTTGTACCCTTTTTGGATTAGTTGCATTTTTTTTCCTAGAGAAGATGTGCTTTGTGCTATTAAAATAGCAACCCCAAAGTAGGATACCTGGCTGGTAAACTCAGGGAAGGTAAAAATGGTCCCCTTACCATCTGAGGATTCAGAAAGGATCCAGATGTGTCAGTCAAAGCCATCCTAGTCTTTTACAGAGGGGTATCTTCTACACATGCCATAAGATACAGATTCTTGTAATATTAAGTCAAATTCTTTTGTACTGTCAGGCTGTCACAATACCAGCACAATAATTCAAGAACATGCATCAGGAAAATAAAATGAATAGTCTGAAGTATAATAAACCAATGCGTCACCACGGTAGATTGCATTTTATAATCTACAGTAAAAATTCTAGACTTGTACAGCAGATTTTGATGAGATGACCAATGCTGTATCCTATCAAAAGAGGAGTCATTAATTTGCTCTGATAGTAGCAAATATTTTTCTTCTTTCATAACAGTGTCCCGGGCAAGGGAGGCTGCTTTGGATGCCCAGTTCCTAGTTTTGGCTTCAAATCTAGGAAAGGAAAAAGCAAACCAATTGCAATCAGATATGACAGTGTTTGATTCATCTGCATTTGCTGAAGATTTAGTAAGTTTGCAGTGATTAGCTTTATTGTAATATAAGAATTTTATGATATTAAGGCTATTCCTTGGGAGTTTTTTCACTTTATTTCCTGTGACCTAGAGCTTACTGGTATAATTATTTCTACTATAGATCACATGATCATGTTTTAAAATGTGAAGCCAAATATCCTTATCATTGCAGCATATTTAAAAGTGTACTTAAGGCCATAAACTGTAGCCTGAAGTATCAGATTTAGTTTCCCGGGTAGAATGTAATGAAACTGTTTATAGGTTAGAGCCAATTACTGAGTTGTGTAATCAGGGCTATTGGCACGATCGCTCCCAAGCGTCCTCTCCCACCTGGCAGAGCCCGTTCATCTCCTTGGTATACACCTGAATTACGGGCGATGAAGCAGGTTGGGAGACGTCTAGAGCACAGGTGGAGGAGATCACGGGGTGAATCTGACCAAACACACTTAAGAGCCCATTATCGGGCCTATGCTGTGGTGGTGAGGATGGCAAAGAAAAAATTCTTCTCTGCTTCCATTGCCTCCTCACAATGCCGTCCAGTGGAGCTCTTTCGGGTGGTGCAAGGGCTGATACATCCAGGCCCAAAGAAAGATCTTGTGCCACCCTCGAAGGCCCGCTGTGACAACTTTGCCAGGCATTTCAGGGAGAAAATCGCTCAGATTCGTCACGAGCTTGACTCTACTATTGAACCAGATTCTACTGAGGAGATGCCAACGACGCCGTCGAGTCCACAATTAATGGATGAATTTCAGTTGTTGTGGCCTGATGATGTGGACAAGGTGCTTGGACAAGTACGCCCTACCACCTGCTTACTAGACCCATGCCCATCCTGGCTACTTAAGAAAGCCAAGGACGGGATTGGCACCTGGATTCTGGAGGTGGTCAACGCCTCTTTAAGAGATGGTCGGGTATTGTCCTCTCTAAAAGAGGCAGTAGTCCGGCCAGTCCTAAAGAAGGCATCCCTGGATCCAGAGGTAGCCGCCAATTATAGACCAGTGGCCAACATCCCGTTCCTGGGCAAGGTGCTGGAGCGGGTGGTGGCGGGACAACTCCAAGCATTCTTGGATGAAACTGATTATCTGGACCCATTTCAGTCCGGCTTCAGACCCGGGTACGGCGCTGAATCTGCCTTGGTCGCCCTGTACGATGACCTGTGCAGGGAGAGAGACAGGGGGAGTGCGTCCCTGTTAGTTCTCCTGGACCTCTCAGCGGCTTTCCATACCATCGACCATGGTATCCTGAATAGGCTGGCGGGATTGGGAGTTGGAGGCACTGCGTGGCGGTGGTTCCGCTCCTATCTCAGTGGCTGATTTCAGAAGGTGGTGCTGGGGGACTATGGCTCTGTGCCATGGCAGTTATGCCATGGAGTTCCGCAGGGGTCCATTTTGTCCCCCTTGCTATTCAACATCTACATGAAACCACTGGGAGAGGTCATCAGGAGGTGTGGGCTGCAGAATCATCAGTACGCTGATGATACCCAGCTCTACCTCTCGTTTTCCACCAACCCAGGTGAGGCAGTGGCTGTGCTGAACCAGTGCCTGGCCGAGGTAATGGGCTAGATAAGGGCCAATAAACTGAAGCTCAATCCAGACAAGACGGAGGTCCTGTTGGTGGGTGGTTTGGGCCTCGGGATGGGGGACTTGGGTCTTGTCCTAAACGGGGATGCACTCCCTCTGAGGGACAGGGTTCGCAGCTTAAGAGTGCTCCTCGACTCTGAGCCGTCTTTAGAAGCTCAGGTGACGGCGGTGGCGAGGAGCGCTTTCCTTCAGCTTCGGCTGATCCATCAGCTGTGTCCCTTCCTGGAGAACGACTGCCTGGCGACAGTGACACACGTGTTGGTAACTTCCCGATTAGATTTCTGCAACATGCTCTACGTGGGGCTACCCTTGAAGATGGTCTGGATACTTCAGTTGGTGCAGAACAGAGCTGCCAGGCTGCTGATGGGGACTGGGCGTTGTTCTCATATAACCCCAGTTCTCCGTCAGCTCCACTGGCTCCCGATTGAAGTCCGGGCCCAATTCAAGGTGTTGGTTATGACCTATAAAGCCCTCAACAGCTTGGGTCCTGGGTATCTAAAGGAACGCTTGCGTCTATATATGCCCTCCCGCCTCTTGAGATCAGCAACAGATGCCCTTCTCTGGGAACCCTCTGTGAATGATATTAGGAGGGTGAGTACCCGGAGGAGGGCCTTCTCTGCGGTGGCGCCCCACCTATGGAGTGCGCTCCCCAGAGAGGTCCGCCTGGTGCCGTCGTTATTTGTTTTTCGGCACCAGGCTAAGACCTTTTTATTTAAAACTTAAGTGTTAATTTATTATGTAGGATTTTAAAATTTTTAAGCCGAGTTGCACCGGGTTTTAATATTTTTAGTGTATAACTTTGTTTTTGTATAATTTTGTATATTTTTGTTTTTGTTGTAAGCCGCCCCGAGGCTTTGTTGCGATGGGGGCGGCATAAAAATGTTTTAAATAAATAAATAATCCGCAAAGTGGTGGGAGTGGGTTCCCATGCATTGCTCACATATTTATAGCCAGTCTGTATGAATACAAAAGCAAGAAATTTCCTGGTTGACCAAGTTCACTGTTTACATTTAAAGCAATCAGTTTTTCTGTCCAGTCTTCCTGTCCTTTGTATTGGATTGTAGAAATCTTTCACTGTCAGGAAAGTCCATGTGTGACTGCCTCAAAAGTGGTGTAGTGATTTCAATGAGACAAGAATTACTTTGGTACATCAGGCAGGCATCTAGTACAGTTGTAAACCTTTGCTGTTCTAGTGTTAACATGCTGGCATTTACTTCTGCTGTAATAGGAGTTGTTTCCTGGTGTCTCTTGTTACCCAACAAAGTAATCCAAGTGTGTATGTACCGTATTGTATTGTAAGGTTTGGAAAGTGAACAAGGTCTCCTTTGTCATCACTATACAGCTCATTTCAGGCTTATTTTAGGTTTTCAGTTAGAGTCACTGACAATTAGAAGCTGATGATAGGGAAAAGAGCAAAGAGTGAGAGAGTGTCTTCCTCATTTGACTGGAACATCTAACTTCCCCATGTTAATTTCTTTTTTTTCCTAGAATGGAGATTCTTATTTCATGGGGACTCATTTTTTTGCTGTTTGTGGAAAATAATATAATACATTTTCTCCACAGTTATTGTTTATGGGCTTAAACCGCCTGGAAAGGAAAGGAAGTGATAGTGAAGAGGAAGAGGATGCTGGTGGATTTTTACCAAGTAATGCTTGGCATAAACTTGGTGGAGAAGCCAAAAAATACTTCAGAAGAGCACCAGTTTTTCATTTCATGTAAGTTCGATGCTTCCTTCAAATTAGTCTGGTGTGACATGTTTCACTAGTGCCATTCTGTAGAAGTCTTAACTCTGGGATTTGAGAAGTGGAATATGTCTTGCAGGCAGGTCTAATTTTTTTTAAATTCATTACGTGCTTAAGGCAGTCTTGCAAGCAGTTCTTGGTGTTTGCCCACTATCCGCTGTACTCTTTGTGCTACTGTCCACAGTTCTACATGTACTGTACTGAAATCTTTATATAATGCAAATCTGCCTGGAATCTCTTATTTCAAGTTCAGATGCCCTAGGAGTGGTGCTTGGAAACACTGGCAAATGAATACAGCATTTTTTTTCTTTCAAGTTTCAGTGAGCCACTAACCCTCTCAAGATGGGGAGAGGAAGGAGCTATAAACTTCTCTGTTCTACCTTTCCTGTCATGCTTCTTCAAGAATATATGCCAAGTCCAGATGTGAAATTAACAGCTGAGCGGGATCAAAGTCGCTGAATCCCATTTAGGCTAAACTAGAGTAGTGGATTGTCTCCCTGTTTCCTTCCACAATGGGGAAAAGACATTCCATCCAGGCTGAGCTGATGGAAGGGAAGAGATCCCTATTCTCATACTTAGGTTTGCACCCTACTATCACCCTTTTTGTTTATATACTACTGTGCTATGCAGCCCTTATATGAAGTTGTATCCAGTAGTGTTCTAAAACATGGAGGAAGAACAAAAATGAGTACAGCTGAATTGGGCCCATTTTTACACACCTGGATGCAATTTTAACCTAAGCAAGCAAAAATGAATTATAAGCTTGATTGCAAAGGTTTCACCCTCATAAAAACTGGAAAAAATAATTTCTCAGGATCCAGTAGCATTTTTGGAAGTTCATTTACAGATACAGTTAATCTTTCATGCCCTTCCTTTTAATTGAAAGTCGTATGATGTCTTGCAACGAATTAGAATGTTTCATAAGTGTTAATTTTTAATTGGTTTAGGTTGGGAACTTTTACTGCAGATCCTCCTGCTGAGAGACCACGAATTGAGAAGCAACAAAAGAAGGCAGGATCAGATGAAAGAAGAGCAATGCCTGCACAGGTCTGTATGTATGTGATACAGGAAGCTTGAGGCTGAACTTTCGAAGTTGTAAATATTTCCCATTGAAATTCATAGTGTAGTAGCATAATAGAAAGCAAGCATAAACACATGTTCAGGACACAGTGGTCATACAATGCAGGTGAATGATTCATGTAGAACTCAGATCTTACTGCAGTAGGGTATAATTTACTCTTCTTACAACATTTTTATATGCTTGTAGAAAATACCATGTATTGATGTGACAGAGTTTGCAATGTTGTACTTTGTTGTTATGTGCTGTGAAGTCAACCCTAATTCATATGAATAAATGTCCTCCAGAATGTCCTATTTTGGGCAACCTTTTTCGGCTCCTGTAAGCTGCAGCCTGCAGCTTCATTTATGGAATTGATCCATCCCATATTTGGTCTTACTCTTCTGCCTTTGACTTTCTTTAATGCTACTGTTTTCCCTTTTGAGTCTTATATGCTTGTGATGTGTCCAAAATACAACAGTTTTCTCATTTTTGCTTCTAGGGCAAGTTCTGGCTTGATTTAATCTAGGACGCACTTGTCTGTCGCAGAGCTCTCCCCAACCTATGTCTGGAATACATCAATTTTCTTAACTGTCAGCTTTCACACCCATGCAGAGTGATAAAGAATACAATAGTGTGGATGATCTTAGTCTTGGTCTCCAATGACAGATCCTTACACTGTGCTTTCTAGTTTGCTTATCTTTGTCCTTTCAAGTCTTTTCTTTGAATTTCTTGGCTGCAATCTCCTTTTTAAATGATGATTGAGATAAAGTACATACTCCACAACATATCATAAAACCCATAAGATAACACTGAAAATGTTCTCTTCAGACTGGTATGTCCCATGTTTAAGAGCACTCTGGTAGCTGCTCTTCATATTAGTGACGCATTCAGATCATGTGTCTTCACACACTGAATTTTAAATGTTTGTTTGTTTTCTAAATTGTATTTAAAATGTAAACTTGAGTTTCATGATAGAACTCTTGCATTTTAACACAATAAAGCTTATTCTAGTGATGAATACAAAACTGTTCTTTCCTTAGCATACTCTATTATACATTATATTACAGGAGAAGGAAGAATGTTGGCATTATTCATATTATTAAGAGCTTGTTAATTTGTTGGAATTTTTTAGTTGAAGAAAATGGAAGAATCTCATCAAGAAGCTACAGAAAAAGAAGTAGAGAGGATCTTGGGATATTTACAGGCCTATTATGCTGAAGATCGTAAGCATACTTGTGACATCTTGTGGGTCCAGTTAAATTTTTGCTTGCTCTTTTAAGACTAGCTCTGATAATTAGGAAAGGAAAATTTTAATATTCCTTCTTTCACCATGAAAGAACAATTCAAATATTAAATTCAAATATAGAAACTCAAATATCTGAGCATAAGAGAGTGACTATTTATTTAAATGATTTAGGGCTTCTGTTTAGGGACAATTGCAGTGGGGAGGGTTGAATTCTTGAAGAGGGTTGAAACATTGGCTAGGATTCCCCTTCCCTTTCTCAGCAGTGAGTCCTCCCCTAAAATGATAGTACTCTGCTGCTTTGACTGTTAAAAAAAAATCTAATGCATCACAGGCGTGGGGATGGGGCAGGAGAAGTCTTGTTGATCAACTGTTGATTAAAAATAAGTATTTCAGACATTGATAGGGTCTGGATGAAAAGGGCATCATCTGAGGAGAAGCTCTGAGGCTAGATGTACCTCCTTGTCCACCATGCCATGGACTAGGGATTCATCATCCTTGCCCTAGAGATGGAGGGCAATGACAACAGCAATTAATTTATATATGGCCTTTTTCCCTCTTGGGGAGAACCCAGCATGGCTTACATAGCTCCATGTTACCCTTGCAACAACAACCCTGTGAGGTCAGTTAGGCTGAGAGTGAGTGACTGGTCCAAAGTGAGCTTCATGGCTGAGTGGGAATTAGAGCCTGGACCTCTGAGGTCCCCAGTACAACTTTCTAACCACTATGCCACACTGATTTTTCAATAAGGGCTATTCTGTCCCGCTTGGGTCACTGTTGCTATGCCAGCATAACCTTGTAGGTTCCGTTCCTGGCCACTACCACTACTTGAGTATCCCTAGTCAGCACTGGGATCCATTGTTAATTAAGAATATTCAGTGTCATCCAAGAGAACTCTCACACTTGATTTGCAGGCCTGTATCTGGAGTAGATACTTTCCTTACCAACAGTCCCTCTAACTTTTCTGGAACTGCTTAAAGAAGGCTTTCTCATTCACTCTTTATAAGTTGCTTAATTTTCCAGATGCTACTTCTGCGGGAAAATCCTTTTCCCCCAGTAGGTCGCTCTGGTTCCTTCCTCATACACTCCTCTCCCATTAGAATACCTGTCTATGGGCAGCATGGTTCAGATTGCATATATCTATCTGGATATTTTTATCAGGAACTGTTTGCAGTTCCTTCTCCTAGGCAGATCTCACGCCCTTCTGCCCTCTAAATGAAAGATGGACCATACAAAGGAAATAAAGGATTAAATAAAAATATCCTGAATTTTAGAGGCATATCCATTGGCATGTGATGATAGGGAAAGTAGAACAAAAGAGGAAGGAGGCAGAGAAATCATAACAGTAGCACCATTTTGTTATTTCTGCAGCACATACTCCAATATCCTTCCTTGAGTTTGTAACTGATCCAGATTCTTTCGCAAGAACTGTGGAAAATATGTTTCATGTGTCATTCTTAGTAAAGGTAAAGAGAAATACTTTGAAGCCTTAATGTTTGTCAGTTATAAGTCAAAATATATTTTCATACCATCTTGTTACTCCAGCATATTGCCATTGTTCTTAATTTTCTTTAAGGAAGATCTATAAATAAGCACAGGATTTGCTTTAAAAAAAATTGGATGGCTACTAGAAAGTCAAATCTCACTTAGCTACATATAATTAACAAATAATTTGTATGACCATAAGTTGTTAATTGACTTTGATTATTGTGTTTAGTGACTGATAACTCTGAATAAAGTACACTTTATAACTGTTGCCCACTTAAGTACTAAAATGGGCCAAATTTCATCCACTCTATACTTGTGTGAATGCATTTTCTGTGTTAGATGTTACCAATTCCCTTAAGTGAAAGTGGGCATGCTTCCTAAGGCCTACATCCAATATAACATCAGTAGAAATTGCTGTATTAATGGAGCTCCATTGCCTTTTCCAATTGTGCAAACACCAGTGACCTGGTTTGTAAATCTAAGATTAACAAGTAGACCTTAGTTGGATTGTCCCCTTCCACATACTTTAGAATTTTTTTTATTCAACACAGTGACTTTAGACTGACATTGCTAGCACAAATCAAAAAAGAACGTTATAACAGATTTAAATTTGTTGTTGATGTAAACTTAATAATTTAACCAAATTAAATTTAAGTTGGCTTGGTGACAGCTACCTAAAGGTGTATAATTTGCTCATTTGCTGCCTACATTTCTGATCTTGAAACCCTGTTTTTATTTTTAAGTCTGAACCGTATCTCAGTCTGTTTTCTTTAAATTGTCAAATGAATTTTGAAATCAGGACTTGAAAATTATAGGAAACATGGCCTAATTCTTAAATGTATTTTAAATATGGATTATCCTGTTTTTTTTTATTTAACTGTAGAGCAAAGAATCCAAGTTCTCAAGTTCTGAGCATTATAATTGTGGTTTGGCTTAAAATTGGTATTGAAAGCTTTTCATGTAAAGAGTAGCCTAATTTTGTCATGCAAAATTTCCTGTATATGTCTGAACCTGCCACATTTTGTTGTTGTTGTTGTTGTTGTTGTTGTCATTGTCGTTATCATTTCTATACCCCCTACAGCTGTAGCTGTCTTACAACCTGTTGCTGTAGCTGTCTCACAGCAGTTCTTTCAGCCTTGTTGATAAACTGAGCTGTGTTTCTTCTAGGATGGACATGCAAGAATAATGTTAGATCAGGACAAGCTTCCTATAATAGGTAAATTGTTAGAAACATGTTATTGCTGTAAATTAAACTAAGCTTGCATGTATGTATGTTGCATTTAGAATATTGGCTTTTTCTATTTAAAAGTTTTAAAATGTGATATTTTGATAGAGCCTTTACATCCAGAAGAAGGAGAAAATGATCAGGATACTCAAGTGCGGAAACAAGCAGTTATATCAATAAGCTATCAAGAATGGCAGGTATGATGATGCTACTGTCCTAAAGAGACCTGCAACTTACGTTATGTAACCATGTTTCTGTCACGAATATAAAATAGCTGGGTTGTAGCGCAAAAAGTTGATAAAGCCAATCTCCCTACTTTTTTCCTTTGCTCCTTCCTTCCTGTATCGTTGGAATAATATCTGATACCCATTTTCTTCATTTTTCCTAAGGACCTGCATGCTGTCCCATTTTAGGCATATGTAACTATGTCATGCTTAAATGCCAGACAGAATTATGATCTTGTTGATAACAGTTACTTGCACAGGACAGTTTTTCATATTGTATTAATAAAGATGTATCTTTCACTTTTTGCATTGCAAAATATTGCAGTGAATTGTTAAAATTTAGGAAGTGGATTAGTAAAATGCTTATTAATGCATATGGAGATAACAAATTAATGGATATAATAGAAACCAATTCTTCTTCTCCCCTGCTAGAAGACTGTGGAGACATTTGGAATTTCAGAACCCATGATTCCACCTGCCAAACCAGACAATGAGATGGAGTCAATCTGAATGTACAGTATGTAACTGAAAAATTAGTTTGTGAAGACACTTTTGTACTTTTCAAACTTAATAAGCTTCTTTTGTGGTGAGTTCTATTTTAGCTGTCTACAGCAATTCTTAATCTTTTCTTTTTTTTATGCAGGGATTTCAAATTTGTATACGAGGCTTGTTGACCCATTTCCTGATGTTTGCCCAGGACAATGGTGGAGTAGAAATTAATAAAAGTGTCCTGTTTATTGCATATTTACTTGAATAAGAGATGTTTTAGAGTTTATTTCCAAGCTGATGTTGTTGTATTATACGACATATGATATGGTTTATGTGCTGTAGCAGCAAGCCAATTTGAAATTAAAGGTTTCATTCTTTTGTATTTCTGCTCTGTGTTGGAGTCCTGGATTTAATGGGTTAAGAACAGTGTTTTTTCAACAGTTCCTGGGAACTACCTATTTGGAGAGGCCTGACAGACATGTCCATGTGTTTTCTGTAGCACTTTCTCAGCCTCTGATCCTCGGCAACATCTGATTAGTTTGCCTTTGCTGCTCCAAAAACAACCTCCCACCCCCCCTGACCTGCCAAATTTCAGTTTTTTATGCCTACACTCAGTTGTAAAGGACTGAATAGGCAGAGAACTGCTTCAAGGTCTCAGAGTTCAAATTTATATTTTGCAAGGGAATAGTTAAGTTTCAATTATAGAAGCAAAGTTTCATTTCTAGAGAAATTAGTCCTTCTCTATGATTTCTCAAAGCTAACAGACAGTAGTTCTGAAAGTTCTTCGTCGTGGCCTCTGTGCATCACACATATGGGTATTGCGCCTGCGCAGTGCCTTTGGCCGGAAGATTGAAAGCTAATGGTTTTTGGCGGGAAGCTCCGCTCCCCTCCCCTATGGGCTATAAAGAGCGGAGCGTCCGCCATTTGTTCAGTCTTTGCGACCGCCGTTTGCTGTGCCTCGCGCCGCTTTCGACCTTCGCTTTGGCTATTCTTGGTCCTCTCCTTATATATTGCCCTTAAACTACTTTCCCCTTACCTCGCTTCCCGTTCTGTGTAGTTTTCTCTCATTTCTTCTTCGATCCAAAAAAAAAAAAACAAAACCCCAAAAATATATACTTACCCTCTGCACTATCTTTCTTTTCTTCCCTTTTCTGCGATGGCGCAGCGGGCGGCTTTCCGCAAATGTGCTGACTGCGGGTCAAAAATGGCACCTACTGATCCGCATGACCTATGCCTCCTCTGCCTTGGGGAGGGGCATAGGACGGATAAGTGTGTTCATTGCCTAGCCTTCTCTAAGCAGGCTAGGAAGAACCGCGAAAACCGGCTTCGGAGGCTCCTTTGAGATAGGGCTCTGATGCAATCAGACCCGCTCATCTCTACTCCAAAACCGGGCTCCGCTTCTCTGGCTCCACCCTCACGTCCTTCGGATGAAGGCGCGTCTGCTTCACTGGCCCCCTCTGCCTCACCAAAAAAGAGGCATGAGAAGCGCAAACATGCCGAAGACAAGCCGGCAGGCCATAAGAAGGCCAGAAAGGAAAAGGCCTCTAAGCCTCTAAAGAAGGCTAAGTCTACGGATCGTTCCCAAAATTGGGACTCAGAGCCGACGGGCCCTTCGGTACCGGTGGCGGCTACGATACCGACCCCGCCCGAACTGATCCTTCAAGAGGCTATGCGGGTCACCCCTCAGGGGTCTCCCCGACGTGCGGTTGACCTCCTGCCAGCACCCCTTCCAACTCTACGGGGGTCTTTCTCGGACGGGGAAATTGAGGACTCCCCTCCCAGAGCGAGGGCACCGACACCGATGCCTGCGGTGACATTGGAGACAGAAGCTGGCCTGTCCCCACCAGGGAATCAGAGGAGCCGCTCGGTAGAGCAACGCCCGGAGAGTTGGCATCATCCCTACTGCCAACCTTGAGGAGACCTGCTCTCTGTGGGATACTACCCTGCTCCCAGAGCGCGATCCTCACCTCCGCCCCGTGACCAACCGCGGCCTGTGGATTCGAGGAGGGTACCGCAGCCGCTCCTTATCACCGGCGGAGTCATCATCTTCTGCCCCGCCATACTATGGTGCTGATTCGGATGACTCTGACGTAGACTCAACCTCCCCGGACGTTGTGGTGACATCCCAGGATCCTGCGTCACCCGATGAGTCACACGTCTCCTTCGCAGAGCTGATGTCGAGGCTTGTCCAGTCCCTGGACATCGATGCTGCCCAGCGCCCGGGACTGTCGACGGATAAGTTTTACGACGTCGTCCGTGGGCAGCAATCGACCTCTATCATTCTGCCACTTATAACTACCCTGTGGCAGGCGATGACGCAGCCCTGGGACCTACCTTCACATCCTCAACCGACGTCCAGGAGATATGAATCTATGTACAGGGTCAGGGAAGAAGACATTCCCTTCCTGTTAAAGCACCCGAAACCAAACTTGGCGGTCGTCGAATCCTCGCAAGGCAGGGAGGCGAGGGGACATACGGCGCCGAGGGATAAGGAGGGCCGGAAAATAGATTCCCTGGCCAGGCGGGTCTATGCTGCCTCGGGCTTAGGACTTCGCATTTCTAACTATGAGGCGATGTTGGCGCGCTATCAATACTTTATTATGCAGCAGCTCCACAACGTCGCCTCCACCCTCCCAAACCACCAGGGTGACCTTGCGAAGGTCCTGATCAAAGAAGCCATGCAGGTCGCGGTGCAGCAGTTGTCCACGGCACGTCACCACGTGGACACTGACTCCCGGGCCTTGGTCGGTGCCGTTTCCCTCCGGAGACACGCATGGCTTCGGAGTTGTAATTTCCCGGAGGAAACGAAGCGGCGAATAGAAGAGATGCCTTTTGACGGCTCGGGACTCTTCCATTCACACACCGACCATAAACTCAAGAAACTACACGAGTCAAGAATGACGGCGCGCAGGATGGAGATCCAGTCACATAGCAGACGTAAGTGTTCCTGGAATCGGCCATCCTACAGGCAGCCATACCAACAGAAACAGCTGCCGCAACCTCGCCAGCAACAACAGCAGCAGCGTCGCCGTCCTCAGCCCCAGCAGCGCTTCCAACAGGGCCGCCGTCGCTTCGACGATCGGAGGCAGCACTGACGGGACTGGCGAACCACTCCTCACGCTCCTTTAATACCCACCCCCCTCTCATCCGGGGAGTCCATCACATCTGACCTGTGGGTATTGTCCATCGTTCAATAAGGCTATCGAATAGAATTTGACATCGTTCCTCCATCGAGTCCGATCCGGTCTACTTCATGTTCGTCGGTACTTCTCGATGAAATACATTAACTTCTCCTTAAAGGAGCGATTCGTCAAGTATTCCCATCTGACGGACTCCACGGATTCTATTCCAGATACTTTATGGTCCCCAAGCGGGACGGCGGTCTACGTCCGATTTTGGATTTACGGGACTTGAATAAGTTTATTACACCGAGAAAGTTCCGTACGACCACCCTTCAAAACATTTTGCCGTTGTTAAGGAAAGGGGATTGGTTCGCCTCACTGGACCTGAAGGACGCCTACTTTCATATTTCAATTCATCCAAATTACAGGCGTTTCCTTCGTTTTGTTGTTGCAAACCAACTTTATGAGTTCAAAGTTTTACCCTTCGGACTGGCTTCAGCTCCGAGAATTTTTACCAAATGTGCGGCTCCTGTCTGTGCCTTCCTACGCCTTCAGGGCATACAAATTTACCCGTACCTCAATGACTGGCTGTTAGTCTCGCAATCCAGAGAAGGACTACTAGACACCATCCATACAACCCGTGCCTTACTAGATAGTCTGGGTCTACGTATTAATACAGAGAAATCTTCTCTTCTTCCAACACAGACGCTCACCTTCATTGGAGCTCGCTTGGATTCGATGTTGGAGAAAGCCTTCCTCCCTCAGGACAGACAGCAGACTCTCGCTCGCCATATCCATCGAATTCGACGAGAGGGAACGGTTACGGCGAGATCCATCCAGAGGGTCCTGGGGCATATGGCCTCCACAGTTGCTGTAGTTCCACATGCCAGTCTTCGGCTTCGCCCACTACAATTATTTTTCAACAAGGTGTATCATCCACAAAGAGACCCACAGTCGAAACGGATTCGGATCCCGTCTTCCGTGCTCCACTCCCTGTGCTGGTGGCTGAAGCCGACCAATCTCGTGGTGGGAGTCCCCTTCAGGCCGCAACCTCCTTCGATAACTCTCGGTACCGACGCGTCTCTCCTAGGATGGGGGGCGATCTGCTCTGGCCTGTCTACCCAGGGAACGTGGACTCGTCTAGAATCCACGAATCATATCAACTTCCTAGAGCTGCTGGCAGTCTTCAAAGCCCTTCGTTCTTTCGAAGACCTCCTTTGTCATCGGATCGTTCAGATAACTTCGGACAATATAGTGACCGTTTTTTATCTGAACAAGCAAGGAGGGACGAAGTCACTGACCTTAGCCAGGCTTTCTATGACGATTTGGGACTGGTGCATTCCGAGACACATTACTCTGATGGCCATTCATCTGGCCGGCACAGACAACGTACATGCGGATCTTCTCAGTAGACACATCTTCACTTCGCACGAGTGGGAACTGGATCCTTGCACGCGCAACCACCTGTTCAGGCGCTGGGGGTTTCCCGATGTGGACCTATTCACTACCCAACAGAACAGGGTGTGCGAGACTTACTGTTCGAGAGCGGGAATCGGACAAGCATCCCTAGGGGACGCATTCATGATCCCTTGGGACAACATCAACTTTTATGCTTTCCCTCCGATCCCTCTTTTGATGAGGGTCATAGCGAAGATAGTGAGCGACTGTGCGTCGGGGATACTAGTTGCCCTCTGGTGGCCACGCCAAGCGTGGTTTGCGAAACTGCTCGACATCTCCCGCGGGGAGTTTCTTCATCTTCCGACACTTCTGTATCTTATAACGCAAATGGACGGCACACTTCGTCACCCGGATTTGCTCTCATTGAATCTGACAGCGTGGCGGATTCGTTGATTGACCTTCCATTGGGGACAGCGACGGATTCGAGAGCCTCGAATTCTACAGCTTCTATTCATCGGTTTCAACGATCACTTTGACCGCTTCGGCCCCGATTCTCGAATCAAACCATGCGGGTGCTTCTCACTGCCACAATCTCTCTGTACCATCCGGTTCGAGACAAACCCCGTCGAATTCGAATCCAATGCTCTTGCACCCTGAGATTCAGCATATTATCGATGCTGCTCTAAAGCCGTCCACAAGAAAGTCATATACAGCTTAATGGAAGCAGTTTTCTGCCTTCGCCGAGTCTCATTCGTTCTCCCCACTTGTCTCATCAATTGAACAAATTCTTCAGTTCCTTCTGGAGTTGCATCACTCCGGACTGAAGCCGTCTTCTATTAAAGTGTATACGGCCGCAATAGCCTACTACCGTGGCTTAGTCGATGGATCACCCCTGTTTTCTCATCCTATTCTCAAGAGATTTTTGAAAGGACTGTATAACCTTAATCCATCGATTAGACCGGTTATGCCCATGTGGAGCCTTTCTGTAGTTCTACAGGCCCTTATGAGGGCCCCCTTTGAACCTTTGGCGACTGTGGATCTCCGATTAGTGTCGTGGAAGACGTTCCTTGTAGCTGTTACGTCAGCCCGGAGAGCTAGTGAGCTTTGTGCCCTCCGCGTCGACCCTCCTTATCTAAACCTCCACAGAGAAAAGGTCGTTTTACGTCTTGACCCATCTTTCTTGCCCAAAGTCTCTACACCTTTCCATTCAGGACAAGACATTGTACTGCCTGCCTTTTTTCCATCGCCGTCGAATCCCTTGGAAAGATCTTTGCACTCCCTCGACGTTCGGCGTTGTTTAGCCTTTTATCGATCGCGAACGGAGTCTATTCGGCGATCCAATAAACTGTTCATTAAATATTCGGCTAGAGATCAGGGCGACCCAGTCACTCCTCAAAGGCTCTCTAAGTGGATAGTCCACACTATTACTTTGTGCTATCAGTTAGCTAAGCTCGAACTGCCTACAGTTCCCCGAGGCCATTCCACTAGAGCTGTCGCTACGTCTTCTGCATTCGCATCTGGAGTTCCGATCGATGACGTTTGCCGAGCCGCTACTTGGGCGAACCCTTGCACCTTCGCCAGGCACTACCGTCTTGATGTTCGGGCTCGTTGGGACTGCTCTTTCGGTAGAGCTGTACTCTCCTCCGTCCTACAATGAGGACACCTTCCCTCCTCCTTTGATGGTAAGCTTGTTAATCTACCCATATGTGTGATGCACAGAGGCCACGACGAAGAAAAGCAGGTTGCTTACCTGTAACTGATGTTCTTCGAGTGGCCATCTGTGCAGTCACACAACCCACCCGCCGGCCCCGCTCGGTGTCGGTGAGTGGACTCATTCATCGGTACCGAAAGTTTCCCATTTTTTCTTGGTACCGATCCCTTTTTCCTATCTCATACTGAGAACTTTTCCACAAGGGGGCGCACGTTTGGTCGTCAAAGACTGAACAAATGGCGGACGCTCCGCTCTTTATAGCCCATGGGGGAGGGGAGCGGAGCTTCCTGCCAAAAACTGTTAGCTTTTAATCTTCCGGCCAAAGGCACTGCGCAGGCGCAGTACCCATATGTGTGACTGCACAGATGGCCACTCGAAGAACATCAGTTACAGGTAAGCAACCTGCTTTTCTTTGGCCAGCTCTTTTATGACACAAGAATGGAATTCATTGGGATCTCGAGATTTGAACCCATTCAACCCAATTGGAATGAATTGACTATTTGCCTATCAATCTTGAGCTTCTATCCTGTTCCTTGAGCTAGTAATTTAGCCTGTAAAGTGCTTTTATCACTGAGACTTGTGAACTCATCAGTAAGAACAGATCTTACCACTGATATTTTGTAATACTTTGTCTGGTCATCACATTGTATTACATCTGTCTGATCACATTATTGATGCAACGTGATTGAAAATTTGAATGGGATTGATTCTGGAACCCAGAGCTTAAGTGAGCTCTACATCTTTTTATGGGAATGCTGTGGACTTTAGCAAAGCTTTTGACAAAGTCAAACTCATACCCTGATAAGCAAACTAGCTAGAACTTTTGGTTATTAATTTAAAAAAGCATTGGTGGGGTATAGGCTTTTTCTGCGGAAGGTCTTAACATTCAATCCCTGGCATCTAGAATTACTGCCTTTTGATTAGTGGAAAAGGTGGATGAGTGGTCAAACCTTGGTATAAGGCAGGTTGCTTCCCTGTAACTGTTGTTCTTTGAGTGGTCATTCATGCATTCACAAAACTCGCCCACTGGCCCCACTCAGTGTCGGTGACTAGGTATACTCTGTCTGTGTTTCTATACTTTTTCTCCCTTATGAGCCAGGTTTGGTAACAGCCAGCTCCACCTTGGGGGCAAATGGACAGTCAGCTGACTGGGGAAAGGGCAGACACTCCAATTATACTGTGGGGGTGGGGTGTGTGAAGTTCCTGCCAAAAACCATTAAAGCTCTTAAATCTTCCCAGCAACAGGTACTGTGTAGGCACAACACCCATACTGTATACCCAAGATACACAACAGGGGAAGGTTTTCTTTTAAAGTATTCTTGAGAATAATAGGCTACCAGCAGATATTTCCAGATGGCACACCTGAGCAGTCCTGAGTTGGCCCTTTTATACATTGATCATTAAAGGGTTACAGGTAACACAGTTAACACTTTTCAATAGGTTATGGAAGTGATCTTTCCCACTTGTATACCAAAGAAGATGCTCTAAAGGAGAGGGGAGGATGGAGTAGGCTGGTGTGAATTGCCCTTTGTTGGAGCTTTATCTCTAAAGTGCCAACCAGCTTTCTCTGGAATGGTGCCTGGCCAATGTCAGCTACATTTCAAGACACACACAGTAATGTCTAGAAAAGAGGGTTTTTCTCAGGTTTGGTTATGTGTCGGTGATTGCATGATTTAACCAGTGAAAGTGCATCAGTGGAGCTGCACAGATCTAGAAAATAGGCTTGCCAAATCGAATGTGTTTTGAGGTTTCTTTTAAAGCCTTTTATTTTGCATGAGCTAAACCGGAGAGAACACAAGACTAGTAACTCCAGTGCCTTGGCAGGGGACACAGGACTGCCCTGTCTGAGGTATGCTAAAATTGAGGGTGTCCTTCATTGCTTTTAAAGGGTCATTTTCACTTTTGCTTGGGAGAATACATACATATGTATGTACATAAGCAAGATTTCCAAGGGAAGCACGGAAATCCCTATCTAGAGGACGATTCAGCTTACTGTAACATTGTCATTTCGTTGAGTTTAAATGGCTTGTGACTATAATAAAGCAACGTTAAGACACATGGCCGTCTATGCTGACGTCTAGAGAGCCGAAGGCATTGTCCTGCAGAACAATATGGCACACAGGCCTGGAGGGTGCACGCACGCCTCGAGTGGGGAACGAACGTGATTTGAGGTCATGTAAGGGAGAGCCGTTCAGCCGCGGGGGCGGTGTCCCTGGGCGGGTTTGCGGTGCAGCCCGGCGGCTCTGTTTACGTCGAGCGGGCAGGAAGCGGAGGGAGCGCGAAGGCGAGGGTACCGGGCCACGCACCATGAAGTCCGCGGTGGTGTACGAAGGGACAAGAGCGAGTTACCGGTGCGGTTACTGCGGCTCCTCCCGGGGAAAAGTGTCTAGCGGTAAGCGCGGAGAACACGACGGGCAGCGCAATCGTGTGGCCGCCGCTTTTGACAGCCGTAGCTGCACGTGTCGCTCCATCGCATCCCTGGGAGAAAGGCTGGTGCCCGGAGGCGCAGAAAGAGCCCCCGTCACTGCCTGGGCATCCCTCCCGGTCGCCAGCCCACCCATTCCAGGGCTGCTTCGCTATTACGAGAACTCGAATAGCCCGAAAGAAAAATGGCGGAAGCAACACACAGGTCCCGTTTGTTTTTCCGAGCTCCGCCCTCTTCTTATTGCCGCTGTCATCCGTCGGAAATGCCTCTAAATAGAGGCGCGTATCATGTCACCATTTAGGCAAAAAGTTGTGAAGGTGAAAAAAAAAAGTAGCGAAATAGAAATGTGGTGGAGGAAGGTCTTTCTCCGCTGCGACCCGAAATAGTAAGGTAGGATTTCTACCTGAAAGGCAAGATTCCCAGGAAAGCTCAGACCGGGGCTTTCTTTTCGTAGTATTGCTGTAAAATAATCGTGCGAACTGCATGTTTGTGCTCTCATTGTTTGCTGGGCTAAAATTGCGGCGGTTCTAAAAGGGGGGGGCGGGTTTCTAGAAGCGCTCTTGGTGAAGAAGAATGCAAGAGTGTGCAACGCTTACAGTCCAATCCGGTTCAAGCCCACCGGGAGATAAGTCCTGCGGCAGGCTTCCCCGACCAGGTGTTCCGACTTCCCATCAACTCCCACCTAGTATGGCAGGTAGAGGGAATGCTGGGAGTTGTAGTCTTCAAACATCTGAAGGGCACCAGGTTGGGAAGGACCGTTCTACTGGACTTTGTTCACAGATAAGTTGTACATGAGAATGAAGTTACACAGAGCTTAGCAGGGCTCGATTCTGACAGAGGTGTGGGATTATACTTTTCATGAATCTGTCAAGTGCTTCAGTTGTTTGGAAATAATTGCAAAGAAATAACACTTTGGGAACTGACTACTGACAGTCTTCTGAATGCAAGCTTTTATATTATTTTTAAACAAAAGATTAGAAAAGGACAGTCTTCACAGTAGTGCAGAAGGTACCAGATTCAAATCCCAGGCCTAGAAAAATTTGCATCTGGTACCTTGGAGAGCTGCTGCCAGTCAGTGTGGACGATACTGGGCTAGATCGACCAATGATCTGACTTGTTATAAGGCAATTCCATATGTCCCATTGAGTTCTGTAGGACCTTCTCCCAGGACGATAGATGGATTGTACAGTTTCAGTAATGCCTCCCCACTTAATAAAAGTTTCCTTTGTATACAACAGTTAGATATGGGAGAGAAAGTCAGAGAAAGTTTAATGGAACAGCTAGAGGAAGCAGCTGAATGGAAATGCACACTTGTCACAAAATGCACAGGAAACTATTGAATTGATCTTACATATTTAGCTAAACCCTTTGTCATTTTTCACTAGCAAAAACGAAATAAGAAAGAATAGAACTGTAGTCTATTGCTGCTTTCCTGGCGGTAAGATCAAATTGACATAATGGGATTTATGTATGAATAAACACCCACAGGATTCGGCTGTATGGTGTGTACTTAATAATTGAAGGTGCATAATACCTTAGGATAGTTAACTAATTTTGGCTAAGGGAGAACATCCCTCACATGCCTCTTTTTCTCTTTAATTGTAAAATGCAACATCAAGATAATTATTTTTGCTCCTTTATTTTGACATTCTCAAATCAGCTGCCTGGGGCAGCTGCCTCACTTGACCTAACAGTAAACCCTCAACCTTATGAATGTTTATTTTCTGGATATATTAACATGTTGCTTCCAAAACATCGCAGCAAAAAGGGGGCTTGCAACACCTGTGCTTTTAAGACATAGTATGTAGAAATTCAACAGGTGCCACACTGACTCGTCACTGCACCTCTGTCAGACCCGACAGAGGAGTCTTGCCAGAAAAAGAGAGAAAGGAGTGGCAAGTACTTTGTCCGAGTAATTTGCTCTGGGAAATGAAAGGCTCGAACAGTTTAATGAATGGTAGGGCAAGAGAACCCGTGACGCTTCCCCCTTTTAAACGTTGATTCCTATTACTTTTTGCCCCGCACATGGAGGATTCGAAATGGGAATCCGCAACCGGAAGTCATTCTGAAAACCTACCGAGACTGTAGCCCTTTCGTTGCTCCACCCAGACTTGCCCTTTGCTAAGATGGCGGCAGCTGGACCTATTTCTTCGTGGAGCACCTAAACTAAGAGTCTGGGGCAGGGCAGCGGGCGAGAGGTTATTTGAGGCCGACCGGTTGGCAAAGATGGCGGTGGTGGGAGGAAGTTCGCTGAGTATTGTGGAATACTGTGGAGGAGACGGCGGCTACACTTGCGGCTACTGCAAGAGTGATAGTGGCAACCATTCTCACGGTGCGGGTCCGGATGGGGCTCGACGGCGAGGGTTCGGATTGGGGGGCACCTGTTCCTTCATCGTACAGCGAATGGGGCGCAAGAGGGTTCGGTAGCAGTAAAGGACGGCGGAGGGAGGGGGCATTCTGCGCCCGTACACGCTAAATTCGCCCCCTTCCTGAAAAGCGGCGTCGATTTGCCTCTTTAGCCATTCCTTATGGTTCCCGAAGACCAGCTGCGACGCCCCTCACGCCCTCGTCGTCCCGGTTAGCAGGCCCCCGAGTCCGCATCCTGACTGAGTCGTCCTCCTCCCCTGCTGTCGCTTCCCGGGAAAGCAGCTGGTAACTGGGGTGGATCATGCAGCACAGCTCTGCAACACTGCTCAAATGAGCCAGCTAAGGGAGGAGGGCGCTTACTGGATTTCACAGACCCCACCTCCTGTCCCTCCATGTCGGTCCTCTCTAGCTTTCTAAAGACAACCACGGAGCTGTCACTGAAGCGCGAGGAGTGTTGTTTGACCCACCTGTAATTCAGCCACTACTCTGTAATTTGCTGCAGCATTACATTGATTTAAAATAAGAGACTAATTTACAAGGAATTGGCATATATTATGGTGTACGTGGATTAAAGTCCACTTATAATGATTGATTCCCACTTTTCTCTCGCTTTTCCAGCCTCTTCCTGACCCCTATTTATATTTCCATATTAGGATGTTCAGCAGGGTTTTAGGTAAACCTTGGATGAATGTAACAAAGCCAGCTGTGACAGCAAGATTTTAATGTAGCTCGCAAAACATTTTAACCTGAGCAACAGGTTTTCATTTTTTTCTGAAGTGCTCATATTGCCAATTTTTTTTTTAAATTAAAAATTAAAAAAAAAAGGTGAACTGATAGCAGCTTTCCACAAAGACCATTGTTGTTCCCATTACTTGAGGCAACAGTTTTTCACCATCTTGTATGGATATTTCTTCCAGGCATGTGGGCTCATACATTGACTGTTCAAGATTATCAAGATCTTATAGACAGAGGATGGCGAAGGTAAAATGGTGTTAGTATTGTTGACTTCAGTATTTAAATATGAAGCATATATTATGACATTTAAGTATCTGTAACTTACCACTGCATTTTAATGTGTTTTTAAACTTCTGGGATTATGAAGAAACAGAAAGGAATAACATCTCTGGTGACATACCTTCTACCTTCTGTACTACAGTCTTGGCTTCTTAGTTTGTTCTTTTTAAAATTCTGATTATCAGCAAAGGAGATAATGGGTGTGATAGTAGAGAGGCTGCAATCAGGTTTATTTCTCTAGGTTATAAGATGCTTCTTTATATTGTGCCATTGGTTCATGCAGCTTAGCACTGCATCTTTTGACTAGTAACTGCTTTCTGAGATCTTTCTGATAGCCTTGTTATCTAGATTGATGGAATCTGGACTTTCGTATTTGGCCTCTGCCACTGAGAGATTTGAACCCAAATCCTAAAATGAAGCAAGATGACAACTTAGAGTGCCGTCCTGTTTAGACAGAAACAAAATCCTACAACTACCAGCATTCCCCATCCTGTCATGTTAGCTAGGAAATGCTGGCAGTTCTTCTCTGTAGACAGGCATTTCATTGTGCCCTTAAAGGTTCTAAGACCTCAAATAGATGTTGAAAACTGACATCTCATTTGAAAATACACAACAGGTCAGTGACCTGCTGTTACAGGAGCTTCCCCCCGATCTAGTACCTTCCAGATGTTTTAGACTTCAGCAGCCATCAGCCCCAGCCATCATAGGCAATGGTCAGGAATTCTGGGCACTGTGGTCGAAAAATCTGGAGATCACCAATTTCAGGAAGGGGAAGTGTATGATCTCTCAGTTCTTCTGTGTTCTTAATCCTAGTTAATTTCTAGGTTGAATTCCCTGGTTTAAAGTCTGTGCCTGTCAGAGCAGACTTTAGGGGCTGAAACCATGGCCAAGGGTGGAACTGCTCCCCTTGAGCTGATCATAGGACGTCTACAGCTAGCTTGTGATTGGGCATCAGCTTGTCCATCCCCAAACAAAAGATAGCATTAAAGAGAGGAGCTCTTTTGTACTCTTATCATTTACTATGAAATGCTTAATTCTCTTTCCTCATCACACATTTTTTTCGTTGCCCTGCCATTGCAAGTTGCAAGTAAATGCAGAGCCAGTGTGGCACAGTGGTTAGAGTGTTGAACAGGGACCTGGGAGATCTAAGTTCTAGTCCACACATGGCCACGAAGCTCACTGAGTGACTTGGGCCATTCTTTCACTCTCAGCCTAACTCATGTCACAGGGCTGTTGTCAGGATAAAGTGGAACAGAGCTCTATGTAAGCCATCCTGGGTTCCTTGTAAGAGGAAAAATGAAGGGGATATAAATATAACAGAATCATTAGTAATATGAATAATATGCTGCTGGTTGGAAGGTTTCCTGGCTGGAGAGCAGTGTCTTCCAACAAGCTGCAGTGTAGTTTATGCTGAGTATGCATATTGAGCTGAGTGAATGTGTGTAATAACAGAGATGACATATTTGTGTAGCAGTTTGGAGGACTGTGTTGAGAGATAATAACTTGGAGCCGTTCTGCACTTTAGTCCACTGTTAACATTGCAGTTCAGATTTGGGTCTGAGGTTAGTTTAGATTCCAAGCAGGAAATAACCCATATAAAAATTTTCAGGTTACATATTTGAAGCGCATTCTAAGTACCTATAAAACTTTTTAACAGAATATTTTTAACTTAAAGGAGTGGAAAATATGTCTACAAGCCCACTATGGACCAAACATGCTGTCCTCAGTATACAATAAGGTAAGAACTTACTATGTGGCATGCATCTATATCTTCTGTATACAAACATGTTTTGATCTTGTGCAGCAGGCAGACTCAAAAATCTCTGTACTGTGAATATAGAAGGAAGTTCATAGCTGGCTATGTTACTGAATCTATCTTGCAAACTACTGTGAAGATAAATAATCAGTATGATCTACAGCAGCCTTCTCCATCCTGGTGGCCTTCAGAAGCATTTGGACTGCAACTCCCAGAATTCCTGTCCAGCAGGGCCATTGACTGTGTATTTCTGTGTTCAGCACAGAGACCTGTTGTGGTCAACTTGGGCATAGGGGAGGGACAAGGCTCTGTGTCCATGCTCTACTAGCTTGCTTGCTTATCAGAATGCAATTCAGTGCCACCTTTGCCTGCCATGTGAATTCTTAAATGCAAGGCTATTCTACACATACAGTTTCTTGAGTTACCTCATGATGTCAGGAGCACTGTGGGAAATCTCCAGCACAGCATACATCCTCACCAATTCTGCTGCACCCTACTGATTCCATTCCGCAAATGCAGACTGAACACTTCTGGCAGCTTTTGGCAGAAATGCTAATTTCTGGAATGGGGCAGGTGACTGGAGTTCATGTAAGGAAGGGTCACCATCCTTACAGAAACCAGAAACAGGTATTTTTGCCTGTTTGGAGTCTGTCTCTAGGATGTGTTAAACTCTGTTGCACAAGTGGTAGTGCCTGCTTGAGTAATGGAATTGGTGGGAAGGGATGCTTATGGAACTAAATTGTTGGAGGATAACCAGTCAGCCCATTGGATACTATTTTGAGTATTACAGAAATATTTATCGAGGCAGTTTACAGTACTGAAAGCTCTGACACTATGTATGTTCCACTGGGTTCAAAAGCTATGTAACTGTGATTTAGATAGTTGTCATAATCCCAGACATACCAGATACCTTAAAAGATCATGAGCTACTCATCATGTCATATTTTAGATTAGTCCCTTAATGGGTTTGTATGAACTAGAGTAGATGACCATACAGTACAAATCAAATAATCATTGAATATATTATATTAACTCAGATAATTTGATCATATTTGTCATGAGTACACTCCTATATTGTGTTTGGATATGATGTGTCTTTAACTCCTTGATATCTAATGCTGCACCCAGGAATTTAATTAAGTCTTAATTAACCTCTCCCGCAGTGTTGTGCCCATGCTGTAAGGCTCCTTTTTTGGACTATGTGGTCCTGAGGACACTGATATTCAAACAGCCTATGGCACTGGGTTAACAATAAACAATAAACAAAATAAAACTTGATTTCTACAATAAGCATATTGGTTTCAAGATATTCAGTAACTTAATTCCTTAGTGAATAAAACAATGTATAATAACAACTTCTGACTGAGGTATCTCTCTCTGTCCCTTCACAAATACCCATCACACACAGATCCTCCTTTCTCTCCTGAATGCTCTTAAACCAGTCCTTATTTTATTTATCTCAATTTAATCTTTCCCTTCTGTACTCAGGTTTCTGTTAGCTTCTATCTCTTGTGCCCTTATAATACTTGGCAGTATTAGGTTCTGACTCTCCCTAGTCATTTATATGTCTTCCAAGTAGTCCACTTTAGAATCTTAAATGCTTTTCACAGCACTCTGTAGGTTTCTAATGAGAAGGCTGCCTCTTCGGAGTCTGCAAACTGCTGACAGACCACAACTGACTGTTTTCTCCTTCTCCTCACATATTTCCAAGCTCTGCCCTCACACTCCTGGTCACCAACCAATCACCTCCCTCATTCATCACCCTCTTTTACCCCCTTGCTCTTCTGAAACTTACCAATATTTGAAGGAACAGACACACAACTCTTTAAACCATTACAGTATTCTTGTCTCTTTTCTTAGATGCCAGGCATTACATTTCCAGCCTTCCAGATCTCATAAGAAGGTTTTAAAGAAGATGCTGAAATTCTTAACAAAAGGGGAACTTTCCAAAACAGATAATGATGGTAACAAATCACCTTTAAAATAAACTGCTAATGAATTCCGCATTATTTTGAAAAAAATCCAAATAGAAAGCAATGGGTCAGGAGAACATAAATGATTCAGCTGTAGCTATATTTCTTAATGAGTTTTGAGTCTTTGTTCATAGTACAGTTCATATTGGTGTGGTAAAATTAGTCAAGTTTAAGAAATTGTGTTCTGCTTTGTGGGGATTAGTGGTTTTTTTTTTGCTGCATGTATTTTGTGCTGTCTCTTTATGTCTGGAGTATGAATCTGCTTGCTTCATTTTATACTGTACATATTTAATTATTTGAAATGACCAGATAGTAGGATATAGTCTACAGATGGCTCTTCTAGTAGATTCTGGTAAAGAAAGCTGGACTAGGGGGACCTTGATCTTATGCATCAATAAGTTTATGCTGGATATGAGTTCATACCCAACATCCTTTAACAGGATTTTGAGTTCTGCCTCATGTCTTCGGAGATAAGATGATATTGTGATATGCAGACTGGCCCAATGAATTCAATTGCTGATGGGTAAATCTACTAGCAAAATAACAGCATATTTTAGGGAAGTAATTCCCTAAATCCAGCAATTGGCTTACATGTGTGGAACTGCAGATTCATATATGCAAACTCATACTAGCTTCTTCTGTGTAGCCAAGAGAGTGTGAACTAGTTAGGATTGGGTCAGTTAACTAGCAGTTTCTGTTGGCGACATCAGTTCATTTCTGTACCTAGCTAATATGTCCACTATCAAATTATTGTATGCGCTACGTTGTATGCGGCTGATGGAATCCTATGTCTTGTCCCATTTCCTGCAGAAAAGCCTACATATTAAGGAACTTCATCAGCTGGCCCATAGTGTGTGTTTCTTGGAGAAACATTAAACAAATATATTGGTAGAGTTTGGGACGCTCTGGATAAGGAGAAGTCCTTCAGAATGGTCATGACTAAATTAAATGTTTGTTTAAAGGAACAGTTGATAAAGCATATTAACTTTTTTAGAGCCACATTACATTACCATGCCAATCAGTGAATTTTACAGATTACTTTTTAATATTGAAAGTATAGTAATGGTTATTAAGCTGTCTATGCTTATTTGTTGCTGTTGTGAGATGGTTTTGATTCTAGTTAATGTAACATTTCTTTCCATCATAGTACTTCACTTTTGCTTTTTCTTGTGTTGACACTTCACATTATTATTATTTATAGTGGAGCCCATGGATTCCCACACCAAAGATGCTGCTGGCTGCAGTTTTTTGTTAAGAAGTGAACCGGACGTCAGCCATTCTGAACTAGAACTACTCAGTGCTGATCATATGGAGAAGGTGGAGAGTGAAGAAGAAACAGGACAGAAGAATGTGAATAAAGTGGACTCTGCACATGATGAACCATGTAAAGAGAAAGCCAGTGCTAATCCTGGCAAAGCATTGCAGTCAGCTAAAGTTGGTAATTCAAGTCTCAAACCAGGTAGCTCCTTTTTGATATAAGAAAATGGCAAACGATCACTTTATCTTAGTTTCTTATTTTATCTTGTGCAGTTTTTTCCTAATGGTTGGTTAATTCAAGGCTATGAATTTTCAAGCTATCAGCAATCCAAAGAACTTTCTAACAAATCGACTTTAGACTGGGTTGACATTAATATTTGACATCATTGTTACACAGTGGCTGGGTTGCATAACATGACAGCCCATATTCAAAGTTAGATACTGGATGAGTGTGGGTTGTTTCTGACGCATGGTTTGTTGTATGAGCCCACAAGCCATGGCTCCTTAACCATGAATTGCTCATGAAGAGAGCCCATGGTTTGTTGCTGGGCTGTGAGCTGTGATTACTTGTGCTTAACTAGCAATGATTTGTTGCATTGAACCTAGCCCCACCACCCATAGTTCAGCAATCATAGGTATGCATTAAAAAGTACTAGTTGCATAATTCTCTGGGAACAACATTGCCTCGCAGGGAGGTGAATGGTAAGTCATGTCATTATGTGACTTGTATTCATGTTAATAGGGCCTTCAAACCCTAAAGGTGCCTGCAAATGTATGTTTCACAAGACTTTTCATCTCAGATTTGACTAGTTCAGTTTCAAGCAAAAGGGGGTAGAAACAGTTGTAGCATGTGTTGTATTTGTGTGCAGCTCAGTGCTTCTTATTATGAGTATAACACTGACTTGGATTCAGATTTTGGTCTGGTGTGACGTTTGCTCAAAGGGTGCACCTGCTGTTAAAAGAGGAGGAGGAGACTGTTGCAGATTTCTCTTTTCCCTGGGAAAGTCCCTTGATGCCTCCAAAAATCTGCTCAACAGGCTTGAGCTCCCCACCTAGGACAATGTGGGAGGTGGCATCAGGAGGTGCATGTAGGTGTAAGGAGGAGCTGAGCTCTTTTAAGTTACAGTTTCCCCCAGTGGATACTTCAGATTCAGTGGAGGAGATGGGGAACAGTTGGGCAGATGCCTTTCAGTTTCAGGGTTACACAGTGAAGATACCCAGAGATAGTGTGTGAACCAGCCATTCCTTGAAGTGGAGTAAGACTTTTCAGAAGCAGGATAGAGTGGAGTTGAGGAGGGAGTACCTTGCTTGAAAAGAGATGGCATGTAAAGCAATCAGACTAGTTAAGAACTGTCTGATGTTTCTGTCATCTAGCTCACAACAGTAGGAGCCACCCAGAAAGGATCTTTCTGAAATGGGGGGAAGAAGGGGATGTTTCAGTTTGGATTCAACTCTTCATGTGGAGCAGACACTACTCTCACATCTCAAAGAAAGCATTGTTTTGATTTGTACAATTTGTAACTTGTAGAGTGCAAATAAAGAACTGTGCTTCTAAAGTTTCATGTAATTTCCCTGAAGAAGGAAATGGGGAGAGGAGAGACCTGCTTGCAGCTGATGGAATAAACAAAAGTTGCTTCCTTTTTTGCCAGCAGGTGGTTCTACTAAATCAAAGCCTTCCATGGATGATGGATGGAGTGCTTTTGGCTACAGAGGTTGGAAAAACTAATGTACAGGAAGAACCATTTCTTGTTAAGAAATACATTTCTTAGCTTTTTCAGTGGTAGCCATATTAGCTGGATGCAGCAAAAACAGAGTCTTGTGGCACATTAATTATTTTCCAGCTAACAGAGATCCTGTACCCCATTTTTTTAAGAGAGTGAGAGGGTTGACTTCTAAGCCAAGTTAGCTTGAGGAGGTTTGCAGAAAGATTATTTCCTGCCATAACCCACATTGTTCAGGAGTGCTCCCTAAGAGACTTATGGGCAGGTTACAGATCACTTGGAGGGGGAAGGAGGAGGAAACTTGCCTTCTGATAACTTATTTAAGCTAATTTATCTTATGATCCAAGATGTAACAGTGCTATAGCCCGTCTCTCCTTTCCAACAAACTTGGTCAGAATGACTTACAGGTACAATACTGTATTGTTAAACACAAATAATATATTTATGCTGTGTAACATTTTAAGCAGTAAATGCAAGCCCCGTATTCATATATATTCAGAAGAATATCCAAAAACATTTTAGTTTTGCTTTTTTCCTTTCCTTTTAGTCAGCTTTCTTAAAAGTAGAAAGCTGCATGAGTGTGACTATTTGTCCAATAAATGCTTCTCATATTAAGTGTGTGTCCATTGCCATTATAGGCAAAGGAGCAGACCTGAGTAAACCACCTTGCCGTAAAGCCAAGGAAATACGAAAGGAACACAAATTGCAGAGGTGTCTTAAGAACCAGACGCAGAACCCTGCACTTCAAGCAGCAGCTCAGACTTTACTCACTCAGAATGCTAAAACAAATCAACCCAAATCGATTGAAGACTTCATTTTTGTCACCTTACTTCCAGAAGCTCTGCACAGATTAGAGGTACTGAGTTATGTTGTTTATCTCTCTTCATGCTGTTCTTGCATTGCCATTAACCTTCCGGGCAATAGGTTGTTTACCTGTGGAAATTGTTGTACTTTAAGAATAAAAACAGGGAAAATGGTAGACATTGGTAGTGATAAAAATAGTATGATATCCATTATTGGCGTTTGTTGTACCTTCAGTTTGTCCTTAGAGAACTCTGGCCCACATGTGTGTTTAAAAAAGCAAAAAGCAAAGCAAAGCAAAGCAAAACGCTTAAGTGAAGGTGTTCTTTGCAGAAACACAAGGGGGTGCTGTGGTTCCATTTGAATGAATAGGCTTCTATGTTTATAGAACTAAAATGATGATGATAAAATGTTAATGAGCAATTTAGGGCACAGTGCATTCTTAGACTGGGGGAAAGGGGACCTTCAACTCCCAGCAAACACTAGCTTGGTAGAGTGGGAGCTGTAGGCCCCCTTTCTGTCTAAAAGTGCATAGAACTGAGCACTTAATGTTAGGTAAGTTGAGAATTTTAGCTGTTTTCTACAAATTACTATTAACAGTTTGGTGAAGTCCTGTACAAGACTTCATTTTTTAATCATATGCATTCCTTCAGATGATCCTAAATATTCTAGGATATTTTTCTTACTTATAAAAAGTAAGAAAGAAAGTGCATCTGGAAGATGCCTATCGCATCTAAAGTTTCTTAAACTTTTATACATTTAATTGATCTTGGATATTGTGCCAAGACTTATTTACAAGGCAATTCACTAACAGTTACTCATCCTTATTATCAGTTCCTTATTTGAGCAGCTTTCTAGAGAGCAGGCTTTGGCCAGTAGGAAAAAGACATTGCTGCTGTGAATTGGTCTGCCTGCTCCTTGCCTGCCCCTGCCCCAGTCTCCTTCAGTATTTGTTGAGAAGAGAGAAAGTTTGAAAGAGTCTTCTCCTAGATTTGCTACTCTCTAACAAGCAAATATGTTATTCTGGCCAAGTGCTAGAATTAGAATGGCATGGCAATTGGAATCAATACAGCAAGGGAGTCACAAGTCATGTTAATACTAGGCAGCGAGGAAGGACTTTAAGTCAAATGTTCCCCTGGGTCAAAGACACACTAAAACAGGAGCAAGGGTAGGTGAAGTAGAGAAGGCAGCACCTAACACAGTTTCAGAGAAGAATGCGTCATGTGCCAAGTTCCAGGAAAGAACAGCAGGAGCTCAGGGATACAATCAGGAATAAGCTCCATGAGTGTCCCCAAAGCAATTTGCTTGTCTCTTGGAAGGTGATCTATAGCCAAAGCCTGGCTCAAAATAAATAGTTCTTTTTTCCTGTTACCTTAGTCTTAGCATAGGCAATCAGTAATGAAATTGAAGCATCCATCCATAAACAGTCAACTTATTAAAATTTGGTGAAATCATTAGCAGCATGTCCTCAAAACCATGAGCTGCACCTTCGCTTATGCAGTTTGCTTTCCAGTTGATAGCCTATATAGGGTATTATGGCATGTTATAGCTGGGGCAAACTTCCTAAGCATACTTACCATGGAGCAGGTCCCACTGAGCCTGGTGAGACTCTAGAGTTAAATATACTTAGAATTGCCCTCTCTGGTTTTAATACATTCAAATATGAAATTAGTTTGCCAGTAGAACTGGACAGAACTCTGACCTATTCAATTGGATTTTAAGAATCTGCAGCATTATTTTTATTCTGTCATCTCAAAATAGTGCATAGATGTTGAAAAACTACCAAGAACAAAGATTCATGTATCATAGGAAGTAACAACATTTTTTTGAGGACGGATTGTTTTACCACACAATCCAAATTTCCCTGGGTTGGAACTTTTTGTTGACGTTTTTATTTGTGTTACAATCTGTCTGTCTCTTTTGTATATATATGCACAATCATACATGAATTCACAGTGATGAACCTCATTACTACAAATTTAGTATTACAGAGTTTTTCAAAGGATTGAAATATTTACAAATCAGAATAATTACACTGGGAATAAGCATTCTATTTCTGAAAAATCAGAGTACTGGATTAGAAGGCTATATTATCTGCATAATTTTAAGCTACAGAACATGAAAGAGAGGATTATTGTTTCAATATTGATCTATATTACTACAAAACTAGTTTTTATCCTTGCAGCTCTGGTCATCTAATGACTATTATTTCAGTAATTAATATCTTTAATTCTTTGGAAGGTGAGGCTGGTGCGATCATCTCCACCAAGTTGCCAGTTCAAAGCCACTTTTCAGGAGTCTTACCAGGTGTATAAACGTTACCAGATGGTTGTTCACAAGGACCCACCTGATAAACCAACCGCCGGTCAGGTCAGAGAGCATGTTGCTTTAGTCTGTTCTGAAACAATCAAAAACTGGTTCAAAATACTTAATTATGATAGATACTTGAAAAAAGGTATGGACATCCTGGAAATACAAGCAGGTTTTGCAGATCTCATGGGTGCCACAAATATGTAAGCAGATAAGGAAAAAAAGAATGGGTTTGGCTTATACATTAGTGAAATTGCAGAAAGTGGAATAGGAAAGCGAATGAAGGACACTGTTCAGTTCCTGTACAGGAAGCTAGACAAGGCATCTAGCTTCAGGAATCTATGTACATCTTTATACTATGGGAAACTCTAATGGGATTTGTTTGGTTCATAAATATTAATACCAATAAGTAATTCTTACAGTGGAAGCAATAACCTTGTGTTGAGTTTGTGCTGGAAGACCTATCTACAGAGTATGTTGCACACTGGTTAGAAATAGGGAGAAAAAGCAAAGATAAATACAATACAGGAAGAATATTTGTCTGAAATGGTCTTCATTAAACCATACTTTACCAAATCCAGGTGTTTTGGATTACAGTTCCCATTATTCTTGGCCATTGGTGTACTGACAGGCTTTTGAGAGTTGCAGGCCCAAACAGCTGGAAGGCACCAGTCTGAAGTTAACAGCCTTAAACCAATTCAACTCTCTGACAAACACAACTAAATGCCCAGCAACTGTTAAAAGCTTAAAAACTTGGTTGTGATAACTGCACAGGTCAGGAAGCATGTTTCTGGTTCGTACCCTAGCCTTCCCAAAAAACTTCTCCAGTGAAAGCCATATCTCAACTTAAAGTGTGTTTGTATCATATAGCGATATTTTAAGGGATATCATGTCATTTGCTATAGATAATTCTGAACCAGAAAAAAAATCTCTGGAAGAGAGTTAAGCAAGCTTAGCAATTCTACCTGAGAACGTCTGGTAATTTAGATCTCTTCCCACCTGGCTAGTTATGGGTAGACTTTGACGGTAGATCATTTAATACAGGGCAATGATTGACATTGTTTCCTTGCATGAACTGAGACAGCACCTGAGAATATATCTAACACTGTCATCTAGCTGGACATTGCAGCAGAACATTGTCAGCAGAGGGCAGGATGTCTTTCAGGGAAGCTGGTCTTCTAATATTGATCTCATTGAGAAACCCTCGGGGATCCTTAAAAGCACACATTGAAAATCTTAAGCATATTCTTGTAGAACATGAGATGGTCAAATCCTTCTTGCCTTACCTGGAAATCCTTTACATATTTTACATGAAAAGGTAATTGGCATTGATTATCGAGTCACTAAACTGATATGTGGCACTGAGCATTATCGTTTCAATTAGTATACAAAACTGTTGAACAGAACCATCCTAACACTTGGATTGTCACCGTTGGTTCAAAGATTGATATATTTCTGCGGTTGTTGGGCTTCCTTGTGTGTCTCCTTGGCAGAGGCTTTGAAATGGATTTGAGGAGATAGTACTCTGGCCTTACCTTCAGGAGCATTTGGACAAATTCAAATAAAATTCCTTTGTTTTCCTTTGCTGTGAAGGTGAGGTTAGTGCCAGTGTCTTTTGAGGATCCACAGTTTAAATCATCTTTCACCCAGTCTGCCTCTTTATTTGCCAAGTATCAGATGGCCATACATAAGGACTCTCCTTTTGAATGTAACGAGGACCAGGTACAGTTCACTGCATGCCCTTTTTGTCCATATTATTAGTGGTGATTATGAATAAAGAGTAGAATGCCTTAGGTCTCAATAATCACAGCAGATCAGATCTTACTACTGCAACCTTTAAGAAAACAGTGCTTTACTGAATAACTAATGAACCTGTTTCCACTCCAAAAGTAAGGGGTCAGAATGGTAAGTGCCAGATTCTTTTCCATAACTGGTACCCATCTCTTGTAGAACGAAGGGAAATAAGCAAAAGCACCAGTTGCTGGAATCAGTGAGGTCAGTGGAGCTTGCATAAGGGAGCTCCAGCAACCTGTCCTAATCAAGAAATGAACACTTCTACTCATTTGGGGTCATCTTCAAGTGCTAAATCTTACTTGTGCAAGTGATACATCCCACTTGCTCAGTGTAATCAGCAGGATCCCCACATGTGCCACAGAACCTGTGGGAGCATAAACATCTTGTTGATTTTGCTCAGAGATCTAAAATATATATTCTTGGGAAGGAAATCAGGCAGAAGGATATATAATGCCAAAACTGACCAGGAGAGAGAGAAAGAAGACAGACGTGTCTGCACGTGTGTGCACTTTAGGTTTAAGATATGCTTTATGTTGGATAGTAGTATTCTTACTATATTTGACCTGTCAGCTTAGTCAGAATACTCTTACATTTGCTCAGCTAAACCACTTATTTGGAATTAAATTTCTTTGTTGCCAATGGCTGATACCCTGAAATACATACAGTAGACCCAGAACTGGTGCTGGTGTAACATTTCCAGATCTCTTAACCATTTTAGGATTGAGAGTAGCTTCCATTCTTACATGTGTCTTGTTCTTATTTCTTGGCCTATGTGTTCATTTTTCTTCTCTGTTTGCATTGCCCTTTTCCTTATGCTTTTCAATCCTAACCATAGTCAGTGGTCAACACATGAGCTATAGCTAACTTTACATCAGTTTGAAGAGAATTTAAAATTTGTTTAAAGCTAACCATTCAGATGTAATTCTGACCATGGACAATGAAGAAAATGTGGGGAGGGATTCAAGTGGGAAACATGGAAGAAACTGTGGAACTGAGCATGGGAGACTAAGGTAACTTTTAAGATGCAATGCTACACAAGTTTATATAGAAAAAATACAACTCCTACAGGCATTTTTCTATCTAAACTTGCATAGGATTGTATCCCTAATCTTTTAGCCATGGTCTAGAAATCAGGCAATACTATGTCAGTGCCAGACCTTAGAATTAGATTTGGATTGATTTAGAAAAGTATGTTCAGCGTTAAGCTTTGAATTTATGATGTTTTCAAAACATTTAAAACCAATTTCATGATTGATTTAGGATTTACAGCATGTGGAATTAGCAGTATTATGGTCTTTGGACATTCCTAAACAACTCAGGTGCTACCAATCACTTATTGCACTTTGCAAGCTGCTGAGATCTTGAAAAGTAAGCCACAGAAGGCATTGTGTTAAAGTTTCACAGAAACGGCATCATGTCTTTAGCCTACGGCCAGATGCCATAACTTGTGTATAACCTTGTTTAAAGCATACAGTTAGTTATGGTTTCAGCTCATATATATTTATCACAGTCCTTTATCCCTGGTTTATCTGAGCTGACTTTAGCTTTGACCACTCCTTTGTTTCCATATATTGCCTCATTTTATAGTAATGAAGCAGTATATGAAACAGAGACATGCTTTGAGGCTCACTGAATTAGTTCATCTTAGATAGTGTCTGGTGGATACACAAGTCAGTATTATTTGTCCAGGAATTTTTACATTTATTTTAAGCTGGAAGTATTATCTGCTTGTCTGGTTATTGTCTCATATTTTTGATGGAAATTGTGATTTAACATTTTTCTGTAAGGCAATTAGGAAGATTTGGCATCTGAAGCATTGGGGCTGACAAGAACATTAAAGAAATAATATTTGGTAATAATTACCAAAGGCTTAATGAGCAATATTTATTGTATTTTATAAGATGGTTATCCCATACCAAAACCTGACTTGTTTGTTTTTGGGTTCCTTTTCCTTGGGATTTTTAGAAGCCTGATTTCTTTGAAAATAATGATGGTGATAGAAGTGCGGCATTTCCATTAAATAAGTGTATACATGGCTTTGTTGTTATTCAATTCATGCATATTCATCTGACATAGTTGTTAATAACAAGCACCAGTGTTGAAAATATAAGTCATGAATAATTATTTTTATTAAATAATTCTGGCTAGATTCATCCATATTTATGCTAATGTTCATGTTTAGTGCATTGGTACTTATTTTCCAAAGAGGATCTTGACTCCTCCAGCACAATCCCAAGCGTACATTCTCAATGCTCCCATGTTCAGTATGACTTTCAGGAGGCCATGCATAGATTGCAGCCTTAATTCTGCATCAAGAATTACCTGCAATTCTGTAAATTACAGCCTTACCTGTAAAAGCAGCCCTAGGAGGGAGGAGCAGGGGATGCACAGTGAAATTTGGGGATCAAGATTGTACAATATTCTTAGAACAGGTCAGTTTTTTTATATATCCGTCACTGTTTCCAAATATAAATGTTGTTTTACATTTATATCTGATGTTCCAGAACAAAGTATGTGTAGCTTAAGTCCTTCTATTTATCAGATTTTGATCTTTTCAGGCTTTTGCTTCATTGATCTTGGAACTAGGGTTTAAAAGCCAAGTGGTTATGAGCATGCAATTTTTTATTACCCAGTTCCCTAAGAGAAAGTATTCTGACAGTGATACTGAGCGCCTGACAGTTAAATAGGCTGTTAGTCCTTTCTGTAGTACCTTAATAGAATGGAATTTCCTCTGATGGATTACTACCCACTATATGCAGGCCCATCAATGTAAGTACATGGTGTTCAATGCTTTTGCAGTTCAAGTTTCCTGTACGGGTCTGAATGAGGCTTTCTATAGTCAGTGTAATGAAGGGATGCTGCTCCTCACAAATGTGTTTCGTTGAATGTGGGTGTGCAGTTGGAGGGACATGTTACACTCTAGAGAATCTCCATATCTCTGGCTCATATTCATCCTTTGTCTATGTAAACAGCATCACCTTGATTCCATAGGCAACTAAGTTCACATCACTAGCTCAGAATAAAAAATATAATGTAAATCATAATAGCAAACACTTTCTATATCTAGGCCATGTTTGCTAGAGATATAAGATTTCCAGAGATAATTAAACCTTGAAAGACATGTTTTCTTCTTCTTTTTTGGGCAGTATATGGAAACAATAGAATATTTGAGAAATTGAAAAATACCTTTGTATGTCACTTTGTTGCTTTTGGATAGCTCTCCTCAATTTGTGCTGTCCAGATATCTTGGACTGAGCTCTCATAAGCCTCAGGTAGCATGGCCAATGGTCAGGAAAGCTGGGCAATGGAGTTGAAAACATCTGGAGGACACCAGTTGTTTTAGGAACATAAAGCAAGCTTTATAAATCCTAAGGTTGCATTATGTATAATGTGACTTTCTCAGGAAGCTATCATTATATTTAAAAACTTCTAAAAGTAAATGTGCAACACAATAAAATTCTGCTCAACATTTTCCTGCATTTTTCTGTTAGAAGCACTACACAAGCTCTACTCCTGCCTTTACCACTTCCAGTGGAAACTTGCTATAGCATGTGCCTTGGCACTATTATTCAAAGGGCTAAATAAGTTACATTCTATTTTAAGCTTTAATTAATGTGCATCTGCAGCAGATTGCATCTCAAATGCTGCTTGCTTTATTCTGTGAAGTATTTTAAGTGACTGACCTCAGTAAGCACTTTTGGTCTGAGTAAGCATTTCCTTTTTGCCTCATGAGGAATACTCTGTAATTCTGAAAACTTGTATGGTTCCACTACCAACAGTAATCTCTTAAAAACTGCTTACGCATGTTTATATACTTCACGGGGTCATCTCATGAAGCTGATTGGTTTAGGACAGATAAAAGGAAGTACTTCTTCACACAGCATGTAATTGAACTGTGGAATGTCCTGTCACACAAAATGGTAATCTGGATGGCTTTAAAAAAGAAGTGGAGCACATTCATGTGGGAGGCGGCTAGCACTGGCTATTAGCCTTGCGCTCTATGTGCTACCTGCTTTACCAGAGGTGGGATGCCTGCGTACACCAGTTACTGAGTTGTATGCCTGCATACACCAGCTGGGCAGGAGGAGGTCTAGCACCCATCCTGATTGAGGGATCCTGAGGGCAGCTGGTTTGCCAACATGTGTACGAAGCACTGGACTAGATGGTCTGATCCAGCATGGCTTTTCTTATGTTCTTATCTCCCCTTCTTTGACACAAACACAAGGTCAAACGTACTAAGTGTGTACATATGGAATATACTTTACCACTGTTACTACTGTATTGTAATACTGTCTTCCTTAACTCTTTATTATTTGAGTACTCTAAACTAAAGTCATGTCCGTACTTGTTCCATTTAGGTTTATTGCATGTTTATACTGGATTATGAAGTCTAAACTTTAAAATGCCTTTCTGCTCTCAGTTACTGCCTCTGATATCAGTGCTACTATTCTGGGCTGCCATATACAGCTTCCATAATGCTCATTTGTTAAAGTTAGCTTTTGGTTATTAAGCCCCTTTATGGTATTCTGTGTCTTCTGAAGAAATAGTTTACATTTGCTAGGTAACCAAAACAAACCGAGTGACAATTATACTGGTTAGAAATATTTCCCATGCATGATCATAAGTCTTACAGTAATTTTCTTCTGCAGTTAACCGTTGCATTGCTATTTAGCTTTACTGAAACAAGTATTCTACCCCTCTACTTTTGGCATATTTTATAATGACAAGCTTATAGGAAAAAATAGTGCATTGCTCACTTTCCACTGTGAAACTGGACCTGCTCTTACCTTAGGCTTAGTCAAATATTTGTTTTGGAAGACATTTTATTTAAAGACCTACAAAATATTCACTGTCTGAAAGGCTGCAGTAATGTGACTGAACTGGTTGCAAGTAGTCTTTCGTTTCTTATTAACTGTACAAAATAATACCTAAATGTTTAAAGATCAAAACTGAAGCAAATGGAAGATAAAGGAAAAGTAAATAATCTATATCAACAATGTACTGATCTATGTAGGAACATATATATTGCCTCTCCTATTCATAAGCCCCTTCCAGGTTTGAGATATTAGTGTCCTGAAACCTCCATTTCAAATGTTTTACTCAGATTTTTGCACATAATTAATATAGTCTAAGAATTATAAAGGTTGGAGCTCTGAAGTATTAACTTAGCTCTTAAATGGGCAGTTCATTTCCTCAATGAAATAAATAAGGAAGGGTCTTCATGTAAGGATACTATGTTTATCAAAGTATGTGTAAAGTATTGAACTAGGAAATATGCCTCCAACTTTACTTCAAATTTGAACTTACTCTTTTGTCCATTTTCTACAAGCCAGTATGCCCAATATTTTTTCCCTTAAAACCATATATGAGAGAACTACGGTGTAGCTGAGGTGGTCTTCCTCCTGTCTCCCCAATTTTGCAACCTTGTCAACAAGTTTTCTTTTACTTGAAATCGAAATCTGGCTAAAATGTTGGCTGGACTCCCAGAGAGTCGGGCTTCCTTCATAATTGCCTACTGTTCAAAGTGGTGGCATGATGTTGATGTCTCTGTTCTAGAACTGCTGTGGAGACCTTGGTTATGACACACTGTAAGTGTTTATGTCTAGATTCCACCTGCATGCCTGACACTCAGCTTTTTAACAGAAGATGGTTTTCTGCATGTGTCCTTCACACACAGTCTTGTACGCCTTACTGCATGTGGGAGGAAAGGTGTGCCATTTCCAATGGGGAGGACTGTGCATAGGGATAATTTTCTCTGTGTGTCTCACCATCACAGTTATGCTCCTCCAGGCCATCATACAGCAGTTTGACAGTGTGAGGGATTATGATTTAAATGGAAAGAAGAGTGGATGAGGAAAGCCACTCCAAAATACTATCCTCTCCGTCACAGTTGCACAACTCCAGATGCCTTGCCGCTGGGCAGTGGGAGATGTACAATTGTGAAGCATCAGAGATGTACAATTGTGAAGCATCGGAGATGTGGGGAAGTGCTCCCATGCATCTGCCTAAGTGCCTCTATGTGTCTATGTGCCCCCATGGTCTGTCTTCAAGCTTTGTTGGTTCATTTTCGACTGATTGTTTGAAGGTGCATTGTTTTAAGCGGCAAATCAATCAAAGTCTGCTCAGTTAAAGGTGTTAGGTATTTCTCAATTTTCTAAGGGACCACACAGCAGCAGCTATACCTCATAACCCATAACTTTGATATATGTTTGTTAAATTTAAATATTTGAAAATAGCTCAAAGTAAAATGGTGCACAACAATGTCTTTAAAGTAAGCAAATGTTTAGGAAGTGTTTTGATGTTTGCTGACCAATGAAGAGCTAGAATTAGAATTTATGAAAGGCTTTCCAATGTCAAAAGTACAGTACTTTTCCTTTGGTGCCAGTTTTTTTTAACTATAATTAGGGTATTACCAAGGTCTGCATGAAAGCAAAGGAGTGCAGATGCTTAAAAATTGGCCTATTTCTCAAATGTGAATGCCTGTTTGGAAATTACATTTCTGCTCTTGGATTCAGAGGTATAATTAGAATAATGAAACCAACAATTTTCTCATGCCCTTGTTGTAAAGCACCAGATTATGCTGGCTTTTGAACACCTTAGTTGTGAATGACTCCAAAAGGACTAACTATAGACGACACACTGTTCTCTTGTCCTCGGCATTGCTTTAAGCTTATAGAAGTCTCCTTTTTAATTGTCAAAGGACTTGTCTAAATATTTACCATCCATTTGTAGGTTAATTAGATCTTGCTTTCAGCTACAGGAGCAGGAACAAAACCAAACACAAAATTACATGGCATTGGAACAGAAACTATGTTACAGTTTTTTGAATTTCATGATACTTTGAAATCCCTCCCCTTTCCTTTCTCCCATTACTTTGTTTTTGATAGAAGACCCCTGAAGCACAATTTATTATTCTAACATAACAAGCGCCATAAAAAGTTAAAATAAAGCATCTAGTGGTACCTAAACATTGTGCTGCATAAGCTTTCATGGGTCGGAGTCTATCGGAGGAAAATGGCTATAGAAAGATTTTTGTTTGTTTTTTTGGTGGCCCTGAGGCATATGTTTCCTAAGCTTTAGGAATATTTGTGCAATTGGTGGATACTTTGTTCTTAGTGTCTGCATTACTTTATGGTTTTAAGGGGAAAAAATGCCCATAGCAACTGAAACTGTGCAACAAATGAAAAAATTCCTCAACCTTTTAAAATGTTGTTTTTGATCAGAAAGTTCACTAAAGCATAATTATGGCTCAACCAGTTGTGCAGTCATAGGGAAAGGGTGATTAAAAAACAGAAGCAGGCATTCATTTGGTTATCATGGGATGTCCTGGTCTTATGAACTGTTCTGTGCAAGCAGTCAACCTGTTAGAAGTTTTCATTTTCTGAACAGTTCCTGAATATTGACTGGCCCACAATTAGAGAATGGTACTAGCTATTATAAAATACATGGGTCATAAAGTCTCCTCTGTTAGTAGAAGAGAATTGAAAGATAGGAATGGAGTACTTAATATTCCTCTACCCTAGTCCAAGCTGAGAGAGGCATATTATCTTCTGTGTAGAGTTGTAGAGAAGAAGCTGGCATATGGAAATAATGTTAAGCAAGCCCTTGCTTGCTTTTATTTTTTACACACTATTGTTTACCAGCAAATACATGCCTGTCATCTTCAATATTCTTTCTTTACTATGTATTTAATATGACATATGCACATATGTCAAGGAGCATTTATTTACTTAGTTATATACATGCTGTTTGTACAGTGTCGCTAACTGGGGTGCTGAAGTTAATCCATCTTAGATCCTTCTATAGTCATATTTGCCCTGTTATTAATTTTGTCCTGTTATTTATTCTCCATAGGTATGCTGAATACAAGGGAGTAAGGGACCAAGCCATGGCCAGTGTTGGATGGCCTGCTGGCTTCCCTCCTCCAAACTTCCCTTGTAGAACTGCATGCTCCCTCTTTCAGTCAGCCCTAGTTTGAAGATCAAGGGCAACAGAGTAGGCAGATTGGGAGTGTCCCATTTGAGTGGACATGCAGTCCCTTCTCGGTGCATTTAATAGATGCACTGGAGAAATTCTGAGCAGGGCTTTTGTGACTGCAGGTTTTCTCTTGCTTCCTTTTTCCAGTTCTTGATCTGCACACCGAGAAAAACTGAAAAGCCATGTGATATAACTTGTTTCCATAATTTACTCAGGGATTCTAGTAGTATGACAATCAAATCTGAAAAAGCCCAATTGGGTTGTAATGTAGGCAGGGTCTACATGAATCAAATGGTCAACATTTGTTTGGTGGTGGAGTACTGCATCCCCATCCTCCATGATGTCTGTGTAAAAGGTGGTAAAAACAGTTGCCCACTCATGTGAAGACACATTAGTATGATTTTCTCCTTCTTTCTTATTTGAACTGAATAATTCATCCAAGCGTGAAGAGCCTGACTCACAAAAGCTGACCGACAAAGCTGGTACTGAGTTTTTCAAGCAAAACATTTTTGGTTTATCCGATTCCCATCCTGTATTTTTGGAGTAGCTTTTGATAGTCTTGATTTTGAAGAAAAACCCCCACACAAGAGGAAACTGAGGAATAATGAGATTTTCAGCTTTAGTAGGCCAAGTTTAGATCACTTTACTCTGCTGTGACCATGTTCAGGTTCTCTGTTGCCACAAATGTTTCATTAGGCTATGCTACAATGTTCAGTCACTAATAATTAAAATCTTCCAATTCACACCCTAAATTATAGCCCTAGTGTTTCCTGATGAATTTGTTGATTAGGATCAGCAGCAGTGGTTTTAGTTCATCATAGAACAGTCAGTTGTGCATCAATTTTCATAGAGTATCAAAAATAAAATTCCAAGAGCTAATTTTAAGAAGGCTACTTACTCTATTCATATAATGATGTAATTTTCTGTAGCAATTAATTACCACAAGGATTATTCTGGTTGATAAAAGAAGCCACCTTCAAAAGATTTATGAGTTTAATTCATGAATTGAAACTATGGTTAATAGTGAAACATTAGTTATAACTTGAACATTGCATAATATTCTTAGGATATAATATTTTAACATATTTCTATTGTGTGTATTTTATTTCATGTTGAATATGTATCCTTGGTGACCTGGACATCTGATTTTTTTTTTTTTAATCCAAACACAGTTCACACGGTTTCTCTGTGACTCTCCACTTGAGGTATGTAATTATCATTTACTCTAAATATTTGTACTCTTTGAATACTAATTATAGTTTTTTTTCCTGTACCTGGTGCCTGTAATTATATTTATAATTCCCAACATATGGTTGATTTTGTAATTTGTTGAATTCTTGGAATCTCTCTGCAACATGAGTTTTATACAACCTTTCTTAATTATAATTAAGATATATAAATTTAAAAATATTAAGGGATGAAATTTATAATTCTTACTTAGTTTTATATTTCTATTTATCCCTTAATAGTTGGTGGGATTTTTGGAGGGCTTCCAATAGACTAGAAGAGGCAGCTGACTATCTTTGGGGGAGGAACACACACACACACACACACACACACCAAAACAGGTTGTGCCCATATGCTCAGTGATTATATTTGTAAAAATCAGTCATAGTTCAATGTTATGGGATATTTCTAACATATAGGTCCTGAATGAAAATAAGTCATTAGTGAGCTTTAGGTTCAAATCTGTACATTACCTTGAAGCTTACTAGATCATTGCCATCTCTCTGTCTTAGGGTTCTTCTTAGAATAAAATGGGGCGGAGGGAATTATATATGCCTCCTTCTAACTCCATGGAGGAAAAAAGGATATTACAGTAAATCATACATGACAATTGTACCTTTCATATGGCAATGGTGACTTAGATATCACAGGAAATTTGTTGGAAATACTAATCTCTGCTAACCTTGTAAGCAAGTTCAAATGCAAGTCTGCACTATTGATGCTTAAGAATAATCATTCTTTTTGAAGGTCAAATTGCTAAATTAGGTGTAGGCTTTTTATTTATGATTTCTGTTTTATTTTTAATTAGCTGATAGCTGCCTAGGAAAAGATAATTTATGAATAGGAGAATATGAATTGCTTTAATTTGTTTTCTAAAAATACTGAAGGTGATGAATATGTTGTTTGTTTATGATTTGCCATTTCTCTATTCCTTAATTATTGCTGGATGTGGGCCATTTCCTATTTGCAAATGTCATTAACTGGAGTTTCATCATATGAAAGTGCAAAGATTCTCTTCCAGTGAAGTGAGAAGGTTACTTTGAACATTCCCAGGTTACATTCTGTGTGTTTTCAGAATACTATGCCTGCAGCAGATCACAGAATTCAGATACTTGTTGGTAGATGTATTACATCAGGGGTCCTCAGACTTTTTAAACGGGGGACAGTTCACTGTTCCTCAGACTGTTGGGGTGCTGGACTATAGTTTGAAAAAAAATTGAATGAATTCATATGCACACTGCGCATATCTTACTTGTAGTGCAAAAAAACAGGAAAAAAATACAATATTTAAAATGAAGAACAATTTTAATCAACATAAACTTATTAGTATTTCATTGGGAATGGCTAATGGCTAATGAGATGGTGACACCCTAGAAACATGTCCACAGCATCATAATGAGTATAAAACCAATATGATTAGGACCATTTCTGCAGAGATCATAAGCTCATCATGAGCACAGAGCTCATTTGCATATGTGGTAGTGTGATCCACAGGGGATTGCTTTTTGGAAAGCAATGGACAGGCTGTGATGAAGCGATCTGTTGCCTGCACACCACCTGTTTTAACCACCATCTCCAATAGCAACCAAATGACACTAATAAATCTGCACTCACATCAGAGCGCACCCATAGAAATACATGACGTGTGGCATCCTACATCAAAATTTGCATTACAATTTATTTTGCATGAGCAAAAATGAGAGGAGAGATGGAGGGGAGCAACTTCTGAATCTGCTAAAAATTATGATTTTTTATTTAAAAAAATATATAACAGCTTTAGGGATGCAGGTGGTGCAGTGGCTTAAACTGCTGTGCTGCTGGGCTGGTTGATCGAAAGGTCGCTGGTTCAAATCTGCACAATGGGGTGAGTTCCTGTTGCTCTGTCCCAGCTCCTGCCAACCTTGCAGTTCGAAAGCATGCAAATGCAAGTAGATAAAAAGGTGCCACTCCGGTGGGCAGGTAACAGCGTTCCGTGCACTTTGGTGTTTAGTCATGCCGGCCACATGACCACAGAGACTGACTGTGGACAAACGCTGGCTCCCTCGGCTAGGAAACGGAGATGAGCACCGCCCCCTAGAGTCAGGCATGACTGGACTTAATGTCAAGGGGAAACCTTTACCTTTACCTTTTATAACAGCTTTAAAAAAGGAGAAACTCACTGAATATCCACTAGGTCCTGCAACCCAAGTCCATCTCTACAAATTATGTCCCTTCATATAGTTTGTAAAGATAGACTCAGGTTGCAGGACCTAGTGAATATTCAGTGAGTTTCTTTTTTTAAAACCTGTGTTTTTTTTTTTTTTTTTAATGAAAAAATGTTTGCTCTGCTTGCTTGGGCTGCAGCAGAAGCCCAAGATGACACTGTGGCACCCGCCGAAAGGGAAAGCACAACATGAAGGGGAACCATGAGGGTGCATTCACCTCTGGGAGGGGGAGCAGGAGCTGGAGGCTGGAGAGGCGAGCGCAAGGCGGCTCCCCTGGCTGGGACAGGGCCACGAGGAGGGAGGTAATGGCTGCTTTCCACTGGCTGAGGCAAGGGGAGGTGAGGGACGGGGCTGCGGCAGGCCAACCAGGACACCTTCCGCCTCTCCCTGCCACGGGGGGGGGGAGCATGGTGGCCACTCGACGGTGGCGGTGGCTTGCTCTGAGAAGGCCATGGTGGAGGTGTGGGAGCCGTGGCCCTGCTCCCACTCCCCCTTGGCCCATCTGCCCCCTGGCTTGGTCTGGCGGCCAGGGCTTGGTCTGCAGCCTGGGGATGTGGCTCATATTTTTGTGGTTACCTCCCCCCAAAGTAAACTTATTACATTGAATGTTATGGGGAAATTTGATTATATTTTTCTTACCTTCTATCTCTTTTTAGTGTCTTTGTCTCTCTCTCTTTCCACTGCCCTCCTCTCTTCTGTATTCCCGCTTCATATTCCCACTCAGTATTCAGATCCAACGCATGCGCAATAAGAGCCGGTGCATGCGCAATTCACGTTGGCAAGACCAGCGCAGCAGCAGAAGCTATCAGAGAGAGCCAGTGCACATGCTGTTGAAGGGAGCTGTTAGAATTTGGCTTGTGTGCTGACTCTCTGCTAGTCTCCAAAACTGAAAGAGTTTCAGATAATGCCTTTGCCAGCTCAGAACTTTCAGACTTGTTCGGAGATAATTTTCTCCGAACGAGTCCAAAAGCTCTGAGGCAGGGTGGGTAAATGACCTTGGCGGGGCCTCTTAGTCTGAGGACCAAACTAAATTTTAGAGAAGCTCTTGGAGGTCACATTGCAATGGTGAGTAGAACAGAAGACAAAATGGAAGGGCAACAAATGCAGTGTATTGTAGCTGAAAGTTCTTGCTGCCAGTAACTAAGAAGAGGCAATTCAGCCTTTTATAATGGAGAAAAAGTTTCAGAAAAGAGGAAGCCACCAAATGATTGGCTCTTGAGGGAAAAGGAAATACCAGTGGGGCATTGCCATATGCAGAATTTAGGTTTGATATTCCTTGTAGGAGATGTGGTAACCTATCTACATATACTGTATCAATTGAATAGATGATCACTAGGAAAAGCCAACAGTCTGATGTGCAATAAATAAACTTACTGTTTTATTGATTTAATAATAATTTTGTATTTATATCCTGCTTTTTTCCTGCAAGGAACCCAAAGCAGTTTACAATATCCTCCTGATGCTCTCCATTTTTATGCTAACAATGACCCTAAGAGGTGGGTTAGGCTGGGAGTCATTGATTGGCCCAAAATCATCCAGATAGCTCCATGGCCAAGAGGGGACTGTAACCTGGATCTCTTGAGTTTCTGTAAAACACTCTAACCACTGTCCCACACTGGCTCTCATTGTTCTTTCTTGACATAATGTTACCACTTTAGAAAGATTAATGGGATATAAGAGACCTTAAATGGTTATAAATGAAACTTTAAATATAGAAAAGTTATTTTTTCAAAAAGTAATTACTGATTTATAATTCTAGACTGATACCATTTAAATTATCCTGGATATCTTGCTTCTGAAATGGATGCTTTTCTCAACACCTTCCTTATTTTTGTTCTTAAAACAGTGTTTAGCTTCTTGGTCACATTTAGTTTGTCTCATCTCCTCAATTAGCCATAACACAAGTATTGAAAGCACCATCAAAATTGGGTTAATGACCCATGTTATTTTAATCCCAGCCACAAGTAGCTGGTTAATCCTTACTGGAAAGCATTGATACTGACTGTATGTGTCTGATAACTGACAGTGGAGATAGTTCATAGAACAAACAGGACACATGTGGGGCCCTGGCAAGGTTCTGTTCACACAAAAGCAGATTTATATTATGTACGTGAACAAGTATGCATGTAGGTTTTTTTATCCCCACCTCCCCCACCAGTCCATGCAATAGGCTTTTAGCCCTATGCCAACAGTTGCAACAAATGCATTCAGATGATGCAGCTTTTCTGTCAGTATAATACTTTGGACTATTATTAATGCTCCTTGTGATGGTGAGTTGTGACAGAAGTCCTCAGGAAAGTTTGAATGGGAGAAAGTTTTCAAAAGATAAGCCAAACTATTGAAGCAGAACA